TCCTGGTTAACCTCTGCTTCTGCACCACAGAGAGATGATGATGATGATGTTGATGATGAAAATAAATAATGTACAACAGAAGCTGAATTACTGCTTGTTTTTCTCCATAACTTCAATTTGTCAAAGTTTTAAATGATTTATTTATATACAGATGGGTAACAAATTCAGATGATGTGAACACAACTGCAGATGCTTCCATGCAGAATAGAATTCACTGGATGGTCAGTTTAATGACTCCTACATTCAGGTGTTGATCGTACCTTCTTCAGTGCAATTATGTTAACTCCCATGCTTCCACTAATCCCAGGAACATATAGAGCAATTGATAACACTTTATTTCTGTTTATTAGGTAAAGCTTTCTTGATATCAAGTCCTGAGTCATTGTTGTGATATGGCACAAATTAACTCCTTTGTTTTACAAGTATCCATGATACTGAGGTCAGGGCGATGAGGTTTATTACAGCAGTTTCCACTCCTTACGAAAACAACCAATCACCTCATATTATTGATTAGGGCTTTCACTTCTCTACCATCACTCCAATGTGTTTAAACAATTGATATCAGTATTGTCCCTACCTGGAGTGGTATCTTTGCCCTGATTTACATTTCAGTTCCTCCAATGTGAAAAAACATAATGACAACAACAGATTTAAAAGAAAAAATACCAGAAAATGCTTCTTTTGGTAGAATTATAATTTAAAAGGTTTTTAAAAAACTATATACTATATTTAATGTTTTCCATTGATGCCTTGGAAATTTATGCGACTCCATCTCGCAATTTCCACGCCCACCTTTTCTCATAACAATGATGCTGAACTATTTGAGGTTTCACTTCATTATCTCTAAAATGAGTTTAATTTCTTAGAAAATAATCCTTCTGGAGCAATTATGGCAAACACTCATTGAGTAGACCAACTAGAAAAGACTGATTAACAAGAGAAGGGAGTCATCCACTAGTGGCAGGTGCATGTGTATGTGTGTGTGTGTGTGTGTGTGTGTGTGTGTGTGTGTGTGTGTGTTGTGTGTGTCTGTGTGTGTGTCTGTGTGCATGCGCGCACACTTGTTCCGTTGTTATCATTTCAGTTCTCTGTCATCTATTTGCGTGACAAGCCGCCTGCCTCCCTCCGTCCCATGATATTGGCCCAGCTGCTGTGAACTAGTGACTGATTGGACTGTTGACAAACACAGCTCTCCATACACTAGGTGCACACATGCTAACATTTCTACTCTGTGTATGGAGTCATAGAAAGTGAAGAGTGGATGTTTTGATCCTACTTGTCTGCTTCATTCAACATTAGAACATCTGTAGTCATACTAGACTACGTGACAGAAGTTTAACATATTTATATAAAAACCTTGTCCCTGAAGAGACCTTTCAATACCAATGTTCAAGTGGGGCTTTGTAGGACACATCAGTATCAGCTCCCAACCCAGTCCAAGGTCTCAACAAAACAAGGCAAACTCCTAATAACACCTTAAAACATCAGTGAAATAGGAAGAAACTCAATTAAGATAATGACATATTGATTCTTTTATTTTATAACATTTGGCAAATAATACAATATTAGTCACAACCTGCTAACTCAGATCATCCAAACTCCAGCCTTAGACCAACTCAAATGACCTAATAAAACAATATGTCTATGTTGAGTTGAATACCTACTAATTTCTGTGCATGGCTTTATGTGTGCAACATCAAACATGGAAATGTGAGAGTAACAGAATGTAAAACAACAAAATGTAAAAAAAAAAAAAAAAAAAATGCAGCCAGTTTCTCAAACTTGGGGTCTTATACCTTAGCTACCTGCAGAATAACAAATCCTCCAGTGAGGGACATGGCTGAGTAGAGTACAGCATCACGTTTCAGTAGTCCTTGCTTGAACCTGTTATGATTTGTTTGTGTGTGTGTGTGTGTGTGTGTGTGTGTGTGTGTGTGTGTGTGTGTGTGTGTGTGTGTGTGTGTGCGCGCAGTGATTGCTTTAACAAAGAAAAAGTGTCCATGCACGTGCAATAAAGTCACACGGAGGTGAAAATGGCTGCAGTTTCCTGCAATGTGAACTTCCCAGCACGCGACAGCACATAGAAAGGAAAGTTCAGACTCCCTCACTGCAGAGACAGAAAACAAGAAAACATATTTTCACCTACAAAATATGTTTCTTTCACTGTCAATCTTTTGATGATATGAAATTTTCACAGATGTTTTTTGAATCAAATTAAATTAGCTTGATTGGTATGAATCACATGAGTATTGCTGCACAGTTAATTGAAATCGGCTACACTGCATGAGACAGATAAACAATAATCAGTATGTCTAACAATCACAACTCCTCAGAATAAATTAAACATTAATAAAAAGAAGAAAGAAAATGTGTGAAGTTTCTAACAGAAGTATCTATTTGGCTTGACTATTGCACTGACTGATTGACTGTTCGTTAAACCCCTCCCCCAGACTGCAATTGTCCAATCATAGAAATTAATTTCTGGACATCTAAGAAATGGATTAAACAGTGTGTTTGCCTGCTGTAACTTAAGCTGCAGCTGTTAACATGCTCGGCTGTCTGGCTTACTGTCGAACATCACTACCAAGACCACTGAGCACAATATTTGTTCAGTGGATTTTCCCACAGTTTGGAAGCCATTTTCGAACACTGTTAGCAGCTCTGTTTGTTCTTTGTTGAACATGGGGTTTACTGAAGTTTTTACTTCAGAATTCACAGCCAACCTCTTTATGCAAGATAGCATTATACATTTGCTAAACACATTGGTTAGTCCGTATCCTCTTGTAACATTACAACTGAAAACATATAGATGAATACAATATAAGCAGCTGCACGTGGGTAATCTTAGATCAAAATAAGTCTGATCTTTTTTTTTCCTTTCAAGACCACCTTTTTACTTTTTTTTGTATGGCATCATGTATGTAGCTATCAAGTGCATATCTAAGACCAGACTTTCAGAGCTTTCTCATTTGAAAATGAAAATGTGAAAACATTCAAAAGTCAGCCGGAGAAGGCCCTTTCAAACAATTCATGGAGCTAACAGTGTTATTAGCTTGTAGCTAAAGCTGATTCAATCTGCCAGTGACAGTTGACATCTTAGTTGGAAAAATTGCAGTTGCCTATAAAGAGAGGCCAGCGTTTGTCTACCTGTCTGAAATCAAGGAGCCATTGTTTTAAAAAACACAGAGAAATTTGAGCTGTAAACCTGCCCCCGCTATAACTGTCAACTGCAGCTCAGGAGAACAGAGAGCTTGACAGGCAGTATCTTTTTGGTGAATTATAAGAAAGAAGGATAATACACAATGATGAAATGACAGCTGGAAAGAAATGGTTTTCTTGGAACAGAAGATGAGCGAGCTTTCAGCTTTACAAGCTGTGTTTTGGTTGAGCCCGGGGAACTGATGCTTGAAGATTCAGGAGCAGTGGTTATAGGGAACAACTTTCACTGCTCATCCTTTGAATGACACAATAGATTAGGGGTCTTCATGTGATTATACATTTTATTTGTCCACGGAATATTCCATTTTCGTGGATATTAGCCTGACTATTCCCTAATGTGTTATTAGAAACTGTTCTTTTTACTCAAAATAATAGCTTTTGTGTGTGGGCCCCAAATGTCTGTCTGACCCAGACGCACACATTGTTCTGAGGCTTTCAGGCATCATGACTCACATAGCCAAACCACACATCTTTACAATGGTAACGAATTAGAGCCCTGTGAGAAAAGAAACTTTTTTTTTTATGAAAATACACATGGGAGCTCAGTGGTGACATTGTGGGATTATCAAGTTAAATGTAAGGAAGGGGTTTGAGAGTTATCACTTTTTTCACTATTTTTAGGTGACAATGTGGGAGCGGTGTCATCGATCCATTTGTCATTGCATATGCGAAGCAGTGTCATTTTTTTATTTTACTTATTAAGAATGGGCACACAGGGAAAAAAACAAAACACTGCTCATAGGGATCATGCAAGGTCTGTTGTAAATGTAATGCAGAGTGGTGTGTTATCTGCTGCACAAATGATTCTCAATATGAGCTCAAAAGCAGTGCCCATGGAAACGCGTCTACATTACCTCCAGCATTATAGGAGCGAGTGACCTTCACTTGGTGCAGCACACTCTTATTCACAACTTCAAAAAGAGATAAATGACTGCGAGATAGGTTTGTTATAAAGACCAAGCTATTAAACTGTGTCATGGTAAATGAATAAAACTTTGTAACTTAATGTTTCACCTTGTGTGATGAATGGAGTTCATGTCTCCATTGTTGCCCTGCTTCACTTTGGGAGATGAGATGTAAGCATCACCTCATGTCTTTTACAGAGGTTTCTTCAGCTGCACAAAATCAAGAATGAGTTAACAGTCGTCATGGACGTCAAAGTTAAATAACCGGTGTGGATTCATGGTTGGTGGGCACGAAGAGCCCACTGAGAGGCCGGCCGTCTGAGAAGTCATTTATAGAGCAGTGTAGGATGGAAAGGTATATGCCAACTGGAAACCCCAGCTTTAATCTGGTTGTTTAGTATGTGTGGGACTACTGGCAATAACAATACACACACACACACACACACACACACACACACACACACACACAGGAAGAGACATAAAAGTGTGGGCGACAGAAAGAGTTGCTAATAGATTTCTGAATATAGGTTATGCAATAGTCATACAATAATCAAATAATGACGTTCCTGACTCAACATCCTCCCACTCCTCCTTCACATTATGGATGGACAGCACACACACACACACACACACACACACACACACACACACACACCAGATAGATAGACAGATAGACAGATAGATAGATAGATAGATAGATAGATAGATAGATAGATAGATAGATAGATAGATAGATAGATAGATAGATAGATAGATAGATAGATAGATCCTGTGTTAATAAGCAAGCCATTATACTATTAAAAGATTTTATTTCAAAAACAACTCACGTGCATATAATTACACAACCATAATGCATTAGTTATATTTTAGGGGACATCGATGCCTTTCTTCATTCGTCTCATAGTCTACTTTACTCTTATTGAATCTGACATTTCTCCCGTGCTTTGCCGGGCTTCCTTCCCGTATTTGGTCCAATGACTTTTCGGAGATCAGTGCTAAAACTCGGCCGACGTGCAAGTGGGTACAGGGCGCCACATGGATCTTCGCGCCCCGGCGTCTGGCTCCCCCTCCCCGCCACACGGCCAGTCCGTATCGCCTGGTAAGAACGCAGGGAGACTTTGCGGTGCTGAGACGGACCCGTTTCAGTCGGTAGACCGCCTCTCTTTGCCAAAGTCTCGAAGACTTTCTCCAGATTAGTGCTGTCCTTTGCAGATGTTTCAAAATAGGCACAGTCATCACCGAGGGCTTGGAGCACCTCTGCCTTTGATATTTCTCTCTCAGACTCCAGGAGATCCACCTTGTTGGCGCAGACCAACAAGGGAACCTGGAGCTGTGCGCACTGCTCTGGCACAGAGGATTTGGTGAGTTTGGATTTAGCAGCAAGAATCTCCGTTCGCAGGGCGCACACCTCTTCGAAAGAGCTCCGGTCATCTAGACTGAATACGAGAAGAAAAATGTCTCCTGCAAAAACATAAAAAACAATTTGTATGCATAGCATGCACTCTTCAAGAGAGAGAATTAAGTTCAGCATTTACGCATGCACCTATCACCTCCTACAGCAATTCTTCTGTTTTGAACAAATAAAAAACTGACAAGGAATTTAAAGTTTTGCAGAACAGAGATTAAGACTGAGCCAATACGCACCAGTGAGTATAGACAGTCGCCGCTTGGCTGGAAAATCCCTTTCCCTGGACGCGTCCAGGATGTCAATTTGGTAGGTCTCCCCGCGGATACGAAACAGTTTCCTGAGGAAATCCTCGGAGGTGGGACTGTACTCCTCCACAAATCCGTCCCGAAGGTATCTTCTCAGGATGGAAGTCTTGCCGACCCGTGGCGCACCAAGAACTACGATGCGCTTACAGTTTTGCGGCTTGGTGGAGCAAAGGGCATCTTGTCGGTGCTCGTGGCCAATCTGATGGTGCCGGGTTTGACCATGAAGGACCAGAGCCGCCAGCTGATCCAGTGGGGATCTCTTGCAGGGATGGCTGCTGTTGGCAGCGGACAGTTGCCTTACGGCGGGCCCCGAGCGCGTCTTTTTTTCCTGTTTCCACTGGGACGTGGCTACTTTGAGTATCCCCAAACCCGCTTTAATCCCCGAAGAGCTCAGGTGTTGCGATGCGTTTTTGTAAGCCAGTAAGACTTTGGAGGACCCGGCGCACTGCCCGTCCATATTACCATGAAACTGGGAACCATCTACGGTGGAGCAGCTGAGCTGATGCGGAACAGGGATTGGGGTGGTCTGTGCGCCGGTGGAGAGGCTGCTCATTTCCATCGTTGTAAGATGGGTTTGTCTGGGTGGCAGACTGCGGTCTGAAGTTTTATAGGCCTCAAGCTTGTCTCTGGCGCGGAGGCTGATGCTCGTTCTCTTTATATAGGCTAGCCTCAACCGCGTGGTTCATCCGCGTCATGCTGATTGACAGAAGGGGTTGTTGTGTTCTTCAGAAGAACACTGTGTTTTGAGGAAGCAGCATAGGCTATACATCTGAACACGTTTTAGTCTACTTACATGATTTACCATAGGCATGTTTCTGAAGAGTTCAATATGATAGATTAATAATAATAACAATAATAATAATAATAATTATTATTATTATTATTATTATTATCATTATTATTATTATTATTATTATCATTATTTTATTACTATCGTTATTATTATTATTATTTAAGTTATAATTATATGTAGCTATATTTGTTTTTTAAATCTTTGCACACCTTTGCTGTGATATTTACATATTTACAAGAAAGAAAGAAAGAAAGAAAGAAAGAAAGAAAGAGAATTTCTGCGGGATTCAGTCTTAGTTGTAGGCTATATAAGCTCGCATCTTTTTTTTAAATCATTTTTTATTTATTTGTTAATTTTTTTGTTTGTTTGTCTTATTGTTATTCTTGTTTTGTTAATCATTTTTATTGATTAATACGAAAAAGAAAGAAAGTAAGAAAGAAAAGGACTCATTCGTTGCTATGGTAGCTCCACGGTTTTGAGACTCCGTTGCCTTGGTTACGATTAGTGAAAACATACTAGAAGCTGAAACACAGCGCTAGCTTGGTTAGCACTGCCAATGCTACATTAGTTATCCATGACTTTAATGGTTAGACCAAATGAAACGCGATGAGAAGAAAGAGTTCAGACCTTCGAGTCGTTCAGGTCAGCTACAACTTCCCGTATCTATCTTTCACTTCTGTCTGTCTCTTTCCCCCCCTCCACCTTAACCTCTTTATAACAGTGGTGAAAGAAGTACTCTGACCATAGTAGGCTACCTAAACCACAGTGTAAAAATACTATGCTATAAGTGAAAGCCCTGCATCTAGAAATGTTACTGAAGTATAGAAGTATTAGAATCAAGTAGAACCCATTTGTAGAACTGCCCGTTTCAAAATAATGTACTGTATATTAATGGATTATAATTATTGATGTAATAATGTATATATCACCCTAATGTTGGTTGCAGTTGATATGTGGGGTTAATTAACTACTCTATGTACGGTTTGGCTAGTTTATGAAAATCCTCCCAGTGAACAATAGTCTCAACTGATCTTAACGTATAGTGTGATAGATGAAAATGTATATCATCAAATGTATCTGAAACTGCAAAGTAATTAGTTACTAAAGTAATCTAATAAATGTAGATGTATAAAATAATATAAAATGGAAAGAAAAGTATGAGTACTTTAAGTACAATACTTGGGTAAATATGCCCAATTGCATTCTACCATTGTTTTTATAAAGTTAGAGTGGGAAGCAATGAGCCTATGCGGATGTGATGCCTTAAATGGGAGAAACACACAATATCTCAGCCAGTATATAGGCCAATATCAATCCGCTTTTGATAGATTTATATGCAAAGAAATAAAAACGCTTTTACATTTCATGTTTTTCATCCAAAAGCATTTCTTGCCTGCAGAAGGGAAAAAATGGAGTGAGGGAAGTGAAACATTAACAAAAAGCCAAGGACTCATAATTGTTGTTGTGGTCATGGAAACTATAATCAGGCACAGTTGGATAAAGACAAATCAACAGAATTGCATAACCATGTCAGCGTTCCAGGGTAATCTCTTTCTCTCTGCCTGTGTGTATGTGTGTGTCAGCACTGATGTACCTCGTGCACAATGAAGTGGAGCCTCTTTTCATTTTTTAAAATGTTAAAATCAAGGGATCACTAATAAGCAACATAATTCATTATAATCTCTGTGTGTAGAGATTACACAGAGAGAGATTATACTAAGTATTCTTTTAAGTATTGTACAATTCGAAGTATTGTAGGACCTAGTTTGACATAACATATTACTACTCAAACACTCCCACACTGTTCTCCTCTCCTCTCCTATCTAGAAAACAAGAAGCTAAAAACATCAGAGGAGCTTTCCATCTTGGGTGATGACCAGTCCACAGACTCTACTCTTAAAGGCAGGGATATCCAGGCTTTGGCCAGTCACCCACAGGGGCTCAATAAAGTAAACCCACTTCCATCCATATGTAGTGTTTACCATTAGTTAATAACTTTGCTCCTCCAATAGAATACAATGTGTGGCACTTTCTTTTTAAAGCAGTTGTATGTGTAACTGACTGTGTGAATATGATTGCAGCTTCATGTACCAAAGCCACCTAAGAGCCATCAGAAACCACTGCTCATGGCTTGTGTGCGTAAAATTCATTCAGTGAATCTGGACCCTGACTCTCAGCCTCAGGGCTACTCAGGTAAGTTGTATTCCTTTGCTCTCATGGACAATAGCATCCAGTACCTACTGAAAAACTTCCTATCTCTAAAAAGAGATGTTATTCTGGTCATAATATCCATCCTTGAAGCTAAAATTCAATTTTTTTCTATCCTTGTACTTTTCTTTCAAGGACCGGAAGGGCTCCGGTTTGATGACAAAGGGATGGTTCTTCCACACAGCATCCTGGGTAGTTTGGAAGATTTTAGAAATTATCTGGAGGCCAAAGGGGAGACAGAGGTAAATTCAGCACACATTCTGCAAACTAACAAATGCAATACAAATATTTTCACTTTGCTGTATTAGTCACTTCTGATTTTGTCTGTCCTCCCTCCACCGTCCAGCTGGTGAAGCAGATACCCGAGTCCCAGAGAGATCCTCCATCTGAGGCCCCAGGGGGATCTCATTCTGAGGCTGTGGCAAGAGGGCATGGGCTCTCTCCAGGCCACAGAAACAAACAGAGTAATGCCCTGCAACATTGGCATACACACATGAGGCAGCGCAGACGGCAGCAGGACTTTTTATCTGGTGGGCAACAGACAGAGATCAAATTTGCATCATTATTGCAGCCATAACGTGTGTACAACTGCAGGTTTCTCATTTGAAGCAAATTAAAGAACTAGGTATTTGCTTTTTAAAAAAAACAAACATTTGATTTCCAAAGTCTATATCAATGTCTTATCTTTGTCTATCTAACCCTTTATTTATCTGCTGCTCTTTTCAACTCTGTCAAGATTTGCTCGACAGGCCGGTTGAGAATTTACTGATGAACCAAGCTAACCGTTTCAGAGAATTTCAGGAGAGGAGGGAATTTCTAAACCAAGTCATGCCACTCATCCACTCTGGATATGTATGACACACTCTTGTCTACTGTGATGTTAGCCATCTGTCAGACTCATATTATAGTTCTCTCGTACCTAAAATCTGTGTTATTGTTTTCTTGGTGGCTTTTTCTGTCGTGTCTTAACTTGTATGTCTTAGGGTTATCGTGTGGGCAGTGAGTTTTGGAGTCTCCCCCAGCGTTATGGAGATGAAATGAGTGGCCTCACAGCCACTCTGACTCAGACAGAGCAGGGCAGACGGGAACCTGTCACACATGTTGGACAACCGAGCAGCATACGCCAGGAATCAGGTACACACAGACACCTACGTCGTGTCCCAATTTTCCCTTTCAGTTCCCTTTTCCTTCTGTTTGTGCACCTGGAACGTAGTGGTGTCCCAGTTAAAAAAAATGCTCTGTGACAGTTAAGCTGTCCACCTCTAACAATCACAGTAGGGATCAAGAGAGAAAACCCAAAACATGTTGAAATAAGTAACATAAATTGGATGTGACTGGTTGAATCCAAACAACAGAAGAAAAGGAGGACACAGTGTCCCTCTTTTGAGGGGATTACTTTAAATGGAGAGTAACTCTGACACAAACTTCAAATGAGAGAAATGGTATAAAGTCTTAAAAACACACACACACACACACACACACACACACACACACACACATACACACACTCACGTGCAAATTCAGGCACTCTATGAGACTGACTGTATTCTCTCTGTGGGAACATTTTCATCCTCTAGGAATCATTTGTGCTGAGACTCTGCGTCCAGCATCTCGAACCTGGGACCAGAGTGCATACCTACAGCATCAGTGTCAGGAGCTCGGGGAGGTTCTACGGGACATGGACATCAAAAAGCCGGTAACACAAATTTTATCTAATTTCTTCAACTCTCAAATATCAATATCAATATTACCTTGAAAGTCTACTAACGGTGGGATAATGTTCTTAAGTAGAGCCTTGGATGTATTATGTATTTTCAGTACACAGAAGGTTGTTACAATGAATCATTCTGATATAAAAGTTGCAGCCTGTTGACATTTCCAATGAAGCATAGCAAATGATCAGTCAAAGAGAGTCCACATGCAAGAAACTCATCTAATCTACATTTAGCCAACATGTTTTTGATTACATATAAATTTTTATTCAAAGTGCTCTATAGGATCTAAGTAAACATATAAAGTTGTAAGTCTTCCTTACTTTGGGGTGCACTGGTTATTGTCTGATACAACAGCATTAGATTTATAATGTATGTCGCCTCCAGCATACCTTCTGCATACCATTTTTTGGCTATAGTTGTTTACATTTTGGCAAACTTTGGTACCATAAAGGTATGCCGAATTAACTATTAGCAGTTCCTGTTTCTTGTTTCTAATGTACCCATGTATGTACAAACAATTACCACTGGATCACTTTCATGCTAAAGTAAACTTTTATTATTATTATTTTATTATTTTACTAATTTGATTCTCAGGCAAGTTGTGGAACTTCTGTGAGTTGTTGTTGTTATTTAAGACGGACATTGTAATGAAATTTGACTGAGTTATGACTCTGAGAAGGAGTGTTATTTTTGATGCAAATTGTAGCAATCAGGTGCTATGGGCTTTTTAATTCAAACAGCCACCATGAGCTGCGTGCCAATGCTGCAGCTCATGGTGGAAGGAGGAAGCATGCCTCACAGTTTGAAAACCCCTAATCTAATCAAAAATTTCAAATCTAAATCGCATATTATTCACTAAAGCGTTGTCAGTTCTCTCTAACAGTGAACAAGATCCTAATTTCATGGGCACAGCACAGGTCTTGATTATGCAACTTTTGTTTCAACACAAGCAGCTTCGTTATTGGACCACTCGACGTCCAACCACACAGCCCACTGAAGCTGCTGACACCCTCAGGACACTCTGTCTCTTGCTGCTGGAGCTGCTAGTTGCTCATAATCAGTCTGTATCTTCACAAACAGCCTGTGATCATCCAGCTTTGGGCACACTGTTCTGGGTTTTCTGTACAGGGAACAAACCACAGCAAATGGGCAAGGCGCACAGCCCTACTAATGTCAAGGTGTTGCTGAATTGTCCCTGCCAATATATTTACCTATCTAAAGCCGTCTTGCCCTTTTAACTCCCTTCTATGTTATTTGAAAGATCTATACAGCAACTTTGGTCTGTGCGTTCTATTAATTAAAAAAAAAAAATCTAAAATATCTGTTTGAAAACGGGAAAAAAATCATGATACATCAAACTAATTTGTCCAGATTCAGGCAAGTTATATCAGCAAACACATGTTCAAGTAAAGAGAAAAGAGAGATAAAGAACAAGAGCACATATTATTTTGGCCATCTAACAAAAAAATGTCCCTACCAAAAATACAAACAAACCTACGCCCTTGGCAAAATGTACATTCAGTAGGCACAAGCATAATGAGATTAATGAAGCTTTGCAGCCTTTCCATAAACACTCATGTCTGCTCACATACATGCTAATATAGAGAAGGTACAGTTATGAAATCTGGAGCGTGTCAAGTCATAGAGTAGCTCTGTTGAGATCTATGGGGTACCAGAGCCTAAGAAAAGGGACAGAGCCTGCTTTACTGCTGTCTCTGCATTACAATGACTCCATCAGCAGGGGCAGGAGGTTCTGGGATAAACACTTAAACACAAATAAACAGAAATGTGCACTTCTTTGCACAGCCAGTTCCCATTTACTCCTATTAACACACTAAGTAACAGGTGTTGGTTATGGGAAGGTTTATTCAAATGACATCTTTTATTTATCACTTGGTATCTTTGTCCACCTATCTCTCCCTCTCTGCGCTCTCTTTCAAACACACACACACACACACACACACAAACACACACTTTGGCAGTGTGTTCTATCGTGCTGGTGGTGTGATGCTGAGGCGATTTGAGGTCTGAAGTACCTTCTGACAAACACACAGAAAGAGACAGATCGTCCTGTCAGCAGCTGACTAGCCCATGGCATTGTGACATACGTGCAAAGAGAGAGAAAGATGAAGGGGACGGGGGGGTTGTCAAGAGAGACATAAAAGAGAGGAAGGTAAATAGTAAGGGAGGTTGGAGAGAAAACAATGACTGAAAAATGTTGAGAGGTTTGAACTACAGGAGGATCTGTTTCACTCTGCCTATTCCATAATGTTGTGGTAGAGCTCTGCTGGTAAAGCAGCTACAATAAAGTACAGAACAAATCTGAATGGAAATGTTTCACTCAGCAGTTGAGTTGGAACAGGCTGAAGGACAGTGGATGTACACCTTGATAATTTAAGTTTGCCATTGATACCTGGACAGTGTGTTCCACAACACCTCGTCTTGTCTTATTGAAGGCTTCATCAGACACCTAATTTTGTCCTCTGTGTCTGTACTTTCTGGATGTGAGTAGACAGGACATATGCATCTATTGATGTTGAGCCGAAGAGGACGTTGGGTATTACTTTTCAATAACAGGAAGGAACCAGAGTGTCGAATGGACATATACAACTGAATTTCTCAAAAGCACCATTCTGTGTCATTTTGAATACAGGACATCGACGGACTGGAGGTGATAGGTGCTGGCAAGACATTCACCTTTGTCACAGTGTGTGGTACTCCCTTACTGGAGAAGGAAGAAGAGGTGAAGATGCACAAGGAGGAGAAGAAGCAGAACCTGTAAGAGATAACTGTCTAGTCTTTTTCTAGACTAGATATGTCAAGATCAGGCCAATAAAGCTGCCTTTGTTCCAAATACACTAAGAAACACAATCGGTGTATGTGAGTCATTAGTTTGATGATGCATTCAACTTATTCAGTCATCTGCTATAAAACATAAACGCTATTGCTAGTTCTTGTTAGCAGCCTAGATACTGTATTATGTTAGTTTAGTTACTTTTGTATTACAGCAATCTAAATGCACATATTTACCATTAAGCTGGGACTCAGTTGTCCACAGTGTGTTGTAGTTACATGTCACAACATGTATTATAGACACATTTGAGGACAGCTTCCTGGTGCAAAGCTAAATTCAAGCTCGACAAGAAGCGTTTGAATATAGCATCTTATGATAAGATCATCTTATTTGGGTGCAGACTCAGACTGAGACTATTTCCACACCAAGCCGGTGAAATTTAGAAACCCATCTTGTTCTTTCACTTTCAGTCTTCTGTCCAGACTAAAACTGTGTTTGTCTCAAAAGTCTCCAAATCTGCTGGCTTGGTGTTGTAGGGTATACAGGGTAAAAGTAGCTTTTCCAAACAATGATGTAGGCTGCGTGACAGTCAGGGCTGTATGGCAGTAGAGTTTCATTGCATTACATTCAGTGAAGTTGAGAAGACAACTTTCCGTTTAACCCCCTCTGTGACCACTCATTTTAAATGGGAATATAGCTGATCATACAGAGCAGTGGCTGTCATTAACCTGAATTTATGCTGATTCTGTCAGACCACATTACAACCATGAAATAATGATTTTGTCAGCTGAGCTGCGTCTGTCCCACTGCTTTCCAGATGTTGGCTGTGATACAGTTTTGCTGTTTCCCAGATGGAAATAAGAAGCAGTCTTTTAATTGTTCAGGTCTCTACTAAAACAACCTGGAAACACTGGTGTGGTTTTCATACAAAACAGCAGAGTGATATTTCTGTCTCATTGTCTTTCACAGTGATCCGCTGGAACAGTATGATGATGCTCGGTCAGATGTTTTGCTCATTCCTGCCTTGAGGTTCTGTGGGCAGCTTGCTAGCTGGACTGGAAACTCTTCCACTAACGAGGTACAGACTGGCCTTTACACAGTGAGTTGGTCTGTGAGTGCATTGTGAATGTCCAGGGATGAACCCATTAAATTTTGGGGCAGATCCACTGTAAATTAAATTTTTGGTTGTTGTTTGTTTTGTTGTCAGTATCTTAACATCAATCAGGAGTATGGCTTCTTCTTGTTATTCTTCTTCTTCTTCTTCTTCTTCTGCTTCTTCTCCTTCTTCTGTCCCCTTTGTATTCTCCAACACTCATTGCTCAGGGAGAAGTAGGAATCAGTTCCACAATATTCTTTGAGGCCCTGACTGGAGAAACAGCCTCGTCCCACCTGGAGCTACACAATGAGGGCAGCACAGCCATCTTCTACAGCTGGCATCAGCTTCCCTTTCCACACAGCTTTCCTAACCTGCAATCACAAACAATGAACCCGCAGTTCTACTTCAATTCCTCCTCTGGTACACACATACACACATAATCAAACACCTGCTGCCACCACTCTTACGTCATACACTGTTTGTCTATATGTCAGTCAACCAGTACTCAACCTGCCTTTCTGCTTTCTGTTTTGCTTCCCCTCCCATCCAGGTGTGATCCTTCCAGGTGAAACCCAGCTTTTGGAGTTTATATTCAAGTCAGAGAAGCCAGGCATCAAAACTGAACTATGGCAGCTCAACACCCACCCTATGCTGCTGCAAGGAGCCTCCATGCAGGTCACATTGAAGGGAGTAGCTCTTTACCAGGACAAAACTGCAGACCAAAGACTTTTCGTAGAGGTAGTTTTACATTTAAACTGTATACAACTGTGTGAAAGAGAGACAGAAACACACATGGACACATGGCACTAAGGTGTTCGTTAAAAGATACCCATATGTTTTCTTTGTAATGTCGGTGTTTTTGTTGTGTGTGCACGAGCAGACGAAGCTGGAAAAGATAGTGATGGTGAAAATGTGTCAGTCGATTGTGTATGAGGTGCTGCGTGGGGTCCACACCCCAGAGAGACCCAGCTCTCCTGCAGAGCTCTACATCACTGAGGTGCAAACATTTCGAAACAAAAACCCCAAGGTAAATCCCACAGGTGGATGCAATTTCCATATAGAATTTTACAGTCTTCTTTGTACAAAACCCCCTTAGGACATCAACAGTGTGCACAAAGACAGCTCCTGAAATTTAAAATTGTCTCAGTTTCTTTGATTCAAATGTAGCTGGAGTCACGTTGCTCATTATGCATCAGGGTGGCCTGATTCCATGTACTGCTGATGCATCAAACTATTTTCTTTTTGTCCACATTTAGTTCAGTCTAAATCTCCACATCACTTGATTCAGTTTGAGATGACCCGTTAATGGACCAATTCATCATGTTTGACATTTCGCTGTGTGTAAGCGAGAGTATGATCAGAACCGTTATGGCTGCCCGTCCCCAACCTGAATATATCTCAGTCCCCAATCATTTAGCTCTCCTCAATTATATTTTTGATCTACAGTATCACAATTCTTGATAGCTCATTAACTGATTATAGATTGTAACTGCTAATACCTTAAACCAGTTACTGTTGCCTCTACATTGTACAAAAGAGGTTATGTTGCCATGGCAGTGCAGTGGGAACCTGGTTTTAACTGGGTTAATTGGGGGGCTGATAAGATTAGTCTCTAGTGAATTTAGAGCATGTCTGCCTCACAAGTTTTGCTGAGCTAATTTCTGATAGATATAGGAAGGATGGGACGATTGGAAACAACACTGGAAAGTGTAACCAAACATTAAGATTGAAATACCACTTCCTTTTCATCATCATCTATTCATCTAACCTGTAATTGAGGTGAACTGACTTTTCCTTACAAAGTGACATCTAGCTTTACCAAATGTTAGGATCATGACTGCTCTTTTGGCCTTTTATATGGTGCATGCATATTTCTTCTCTTCTGTTGAGGAATGAATAAAAATAGTGACATGCATCGTCGTTGTTAGAAGGGGATAGTGGCGTTTATCATCCTATAGCGTGATAGTACTGTCTCTTCATGGGGGTTTTGTGTTCACATGTTCATACTATAACCTACTGCTCCAGATTGTTTAACTCCATCCATGGTTTTAGTTGCGGTATCTTCATCAGCCAGTGGAGGACTTGAAGAGACTGTGGCAAGAAGTAAATCCAGGGCACACCTGGGACCTCTCTGTTGATACTCTCCGACAGGTAGAGACAAAATGTAGTGATGTGTTACATAATAACACTTGGTCATTGCAAAGAAAGTACGTGTAGCAGGTTGATTCAAGGATGTAGACTATTTAAATGCAGAGTGCAAGTTTCTGTACAATTTCATACTATGATGATGCATTAAAAATGTAACATATTTATCCATTCATTTGTTCCCACACTTAAGGTTGTGCTGTCTCTGCCTGAACAAGAGTCAGCTCGGGACACCATCACCAGAGAAAAGAGCCTGGCCCAGCTCAGCTCTCTACTTCTGCAGCTGTCTGAACCTTCTGAACTGGAACACGACCATCTAACAGCAGCAGCTTTAGGGTGAGGCATAAACACACATGAGTCATGTAGCATCTCTTTCATAGCATCCCACACACTGCACACTCAGTGTAGTAAGCCTGGAGGTTATGGTGGTGTGTGGTGCCCCCTGCAGACAGATGCTGTGGAAGAAACTTCTGGACACCATGGCTGGTGAGGCCATGAGGCTCAGAAACCTGCTGGGCCTCCCAGAGAGAGAAACATGGATCGATAAAAAGGATGAATCCCCAATCTCTTACGCTGGTGAGACTCCCACACTTTCACTCAGACATACATTGGTGAGGGTATTGAATCCATGCTGTTTACCACTGTTATTACATCACAGATTTGGCTGATAATATAAACAAAGATGAGAAGAGTGAGAAAAAGGGAGGAGCAGCTGCTAAAGAGGAGAGGAGTGGGGCCAGGTCCAGATTTAAAGATGACAGCAAACGAGAGTCCAAGTCACCAACAACTGAAAAATCAGTGGAGGTGAGGGGAAAAGATATGTGTGTTTGTGAAGCTGACTCACCTTCATCAACACAAATTGGAGAATTATAAAATGTTTTGCCACTGAGAGGCAGCAGATTCACAAGTATTTTAATTATGGGCATGAATGAAGTACCATGTTTTTTAAGACATGACACATCACTTCAGCTGACTTTCAGCTGTTCCAATCATGAGTCATCTTCCCCCCTTCAAACAAGCTGTCAGTTCGTCATTCATTTATCTGCCATTCACCAGGCTTCTGTTGTTTTGTTACGATTGACTTGTTACTATTCCACACAACTCGGCCTCTTACTGCCTCATTCTCAGTTATACATATACTGGCTTATTTTCTAGCCTGAATGTGTGTGTGTGTGTGTGTATGTTTGCGTGGGTGTGTGTGTGTTTGAAAGAGGGTTACCAGGCATCCCTTATTCCATCTTTCCACTAAGTGTAGGAAACTAATGCTCTCAATCCAGTGTTTTCCCCCAGAGAAGCCATTATAGTAGCTTAGCAATAGAGTATGGTAGTGGCCATTCATATTTTTGCAGTGTCACTGGTCGGGTGAGATAACGAGCGAGCAAATGTCGCTTCATACCCATTCATTTTAATGCAGATGATTATTTCCCTGCTCCCATCCTCCATGCACCCAACTCATTATACCCAGGAACTTTGCATCGTCCCGTTCACAAATCTGAATTTAAGCAACTTTCCATCGTCAGCACAGGGAGTGAAAACTCTAATGAGGACACTGACTGTGTTGTTCAGCTATAGATGATGAGATGACGTGTCCTGTAGCTGAGTTAGTTGCCACATAAACAATGTTCTGGGTGTGAATCTGGCTCTGGACCTTTTACACCTCTTCTCATGTCTCTATTGTGAGCTGTAGAAAGTACAGAAAAGATGTAATTTTACATTTAGAAATATACTTCAGACACACTCTTGTCTGTTTGACTGTGTATTTTGCTGAGTGTTTTTTTTTCCACTGTGTGATGGTTGAATCATAGGTAAAGTACAGCCTATTACTCACAGGGTACCATGGTAACAGAACACTGTGTGAAAATGTGCACCTGCTCTCCAAATGTGTGCCCAGGGTGTGAATTAATAGGACCTGGACTGGTCCAAGCCATCTGTGGTACACACACACACAGATATACATTAAATCAACCACCACAGAACATGCAATATATTACATGCCATCAAATATGTGGGAGGTAGTTTTTCATCACATAAGATGCACAAAACGACTTACCAACCAACTCATTTTGGTAATATCATCATCCTGCATGCTCAGTAAAAAGTCCATGGTGATTCATCAGTAAACTGTAAATTTTTCATATCTGTCTACCCTGCGTACAAAGGAGAACAAGAAGAAGGGGAAAAGAAAAGATGAAGTGGGGAAGCGCATCATGGAAAAGGAAAAGCAAGGGAATGAGCCTGCCTCACTGACTGATACCCATCCAGAGAGCATCAATCAGCAACCTTCCGATGTAGAGCTGGAGGCGATGAACACTTACACAAAGCTCCTGCACCAGAAGGTTATCCTTTAATAATCTCTACAATACAGTTTTTATTCTAAAGAGTTGTATAATATATTGCATTAGCTTTCAAAAGTTTAAAAAAAATAACCCTGATGACCATTTTTCATTGAAATAATGAAAGACACCACCCAGTTGCATAATGGGAAATACAGGATTCTGCATTTTTTGAGCTTGGGCCATACTAGCGATTAAAAGTCAGGATATCTCTGCGTCTTTAATTTTTTTTTTTACCATTCTTCATTGGTCCAATGAAAAGCACCATCCAGTTGTATTGTGGGAAATGTAGGATTCTGTATTTTTGGAGCTTGACCCATACAGGGATTATAAATCAGGATGTCCTCTGCTGCTTCCATTTTTTTTATCTACCACTAGTGAATCCCCCAACTTTAAGAAAGTGCAACACTAAATCACTGGAGTAGTAGTAGTTTGAGGTTTCCCACCGTCATATGCACATCCTATGTGTAAATCTGTATCTATCTGACAGGTGTATGCTCTGATGGGAGACCTGGTGGACACCCTGTGTGACCCGATGGATGAGGGAGAGGAGGACAGACACACTTTTAACACATGAGAGGCTCAGGAGCCCTGTAGTCAACCAACTGTAATAAAACTTGTCACACAGGAATCTGTTTTTAGAACTCATTCTGACGTGAAATCAATAAACTTTTCTGTTATTTTGGCACAGTGGAGATGTGGAGTAATATTAATTCTGTCTCATTCACTCACTCACACACTCTTTCACACTCACATCAGCGGATGATAGTAGGTTAACAGTACCGCTGACTCTGCAAACGACGCGCCCGCGTCCCCGCCTCTCTTTTACGCTCCCCGTTGTGATTACTGTGTGTGCTGTGCGCGCCTGGCCTGCCGGTGCTGTATGCGTGTGTGGATGGGGCTTCCTGAGCCTGAGTGAGAGAGGGAGAGAGTGAGCCGTGTGCTGTGGCTTATCCTTGTCCTATGCGGATTTCATCAGTGACTGTTTGCCCGAGCTGCTCGCATCATCCCGGGTAGGCCGGGATTTAGACGCTGACATCCCCATTCAAGGATTTCTATAACACGAGCTGCTCGACTCTTCTTTCACGTTTGCCGGTAATAGGTGCGGGGTGGATAATTGTGGTTGCCCTGCTTAGCTGATCCCAGCGGAGGGGATATCATCGACGCTGAGGACTTGGAGAGGAGGGAAGCAGGGAGGCGAGAGATGAGCAATGGGTAAGGTAAGCTGCATGTTGTTGAAACTGGATGTAGTTCCTGTGCATATTTTGGCCAATATCTCTTTATTTCCACATGTAAGCTACAGTGTATTAAGATATGTTGTGGACCTACATGTAGCCTAACAGGCAACTCCAGCAGTAGTTGGTCTTGCGGAGGGATCTGCCACACATGGCAACAACCCGCACAGGGAATCCACCGCAAGAGGGCCGTGTGTGTATGTGAATGTGTGGGGTGGCGGTGGTGAGGTGGGGTTATGCATTATGCAGACCCACCATGGGCGCCCTCTCTGCTCTCCATCACCACCTGAAAAAATACAGCACACCTGCTTCCCCAGCACGCATGCGCGTCCACAAACGTGGACGACGGCGTGACGTACGTTCAGCTGTGTTTGGAGCAATTTGACGCATCACACCCGACCATGTAAGAAAACTTGGATTTATTAGTCGGTGTATTAAAGGTGTAGGATAGTATTTAAAGTGTAGCTTGAGTAGAACTTGCTATTCAAATTATAAGTAGGCTATCTACAAACAGACGGATGTCTCCATGTTGGATGATTTCATCAGGTGACTCTCCATGGAGCTGCTCCAACTAGATTTAGTGACTGACTGTTGTCTCAGAGTGAGTTTGTTTAAATAATTACACACAGATGAGTCATTTACATGTGAAGTTTATAGCTGTGAATCAGAAAATGTGCCCACATCCCAGTAAGACCACCAAAGGTGCTGAGGGGTTGTTGCATTATTCACTGAGCAGCTCCACAGTTTGTCCCTGGATGACTTCATCGCCACCAGTCTGTCTCTGTGTCCTGTTCTGAGACTTTACCAAATACACACATTTTGAGTTGTACAGAAATATCTTAATTATGTGTCAGGATGGATTTTGTACAACTTTCATTCATATAAAGATAAAATTGTTTGTTGCCTTGTCTCAGTTTTCATTACACCTGAACTTTTCTTAGTAGCCTGCTGGCACATCAAATAATGATTAATATTAATTTTAGTGTTGTTTCTGTCTGATGGGATGTGGCCTTTGCTGGTTGTATTCCTAATAGGACAGATGGAGGAAGATACTAGTATTTACAACACATAGTACAAGTTTAACCGTGATTTTTTTTGGGGGGAGGGGGGGCATATGCTTGGTCCAGGCCTCACAATAATGCAAAAATTGGGAAATTCTTTTTTTTTTTTTTACAAGGACAGATGTAATCTGCTTTTGGGATTTTTAAACCACACATCAATATCCACATAAACTCCTTTCTCCCACACACACTATTTCAGCTGGTGCCATTACTGCCCCCTCGTCTTCTCGGGTTTGAGAGTCGTTATATACACAGCGAGTTCATGTTACTCCCACACTATGAAGTATCTGTTGTGGTGTGAGGGTCAGTTAAAGGGATACAAAGAGCAATAGTTTCAAATACTTCATAGAGACAGCACAAGCCTTTAATAACCTTTGTTTGTCGTTGTGTGTGTGTGTGTGTGTGTGTGTGTGTGTGTGTGTGTGTTTGTGTGTGTGAAGATGATTGTGCAGAAAGGTGATACTGGTTGAAGTTGCTGAGCTTCACTTTCTTCTTTATGTCCTTCATTCCCTCTCTCTCTCTCTCTCCCTCTCTCTCTCTCTCTCCCTCTCTCACATATGCACAAACACTCTGAGACTCGTCCTCCTCTCTGTGTTTTCTGTCTGTGTCCCTGCTGTGTGCATCTCAGGTCCTCTGTGCTTCTGCTGATGCTTGCTTTTCGGCAGGATGCAGCATCCAGTGACTTGTTTCATTGTGACACCCTCTGTGAACTGTTGTGGAGCAGCAGTGACATAAAAATGAAAACAATTTTAAAAAAAGAATGCAAGACTCTTTAAAAAGTCAGTAATTGTTAAATATAATTATTATTGTTAGTAGTCACGATCATAGCAGTAGCTGCCTGTTAATAATGTTATATATATATGTTATATTCTAAATTAGTGAAGTGGTTTTAATGTGTGGCACTTCATATCCAGCAGGAACAAAATGTGAATTTGAGGTACTGCTGCACCTTTAATCCAGGTTAACCTGCAACATGTTGCTTACATGGCAATAGACAACTTTCCCCATTTCCAAGTGGTGTTTATGTTGGCGCCACTGTCGCTAAGAAGAATATAATACGTTTCACAGCTGTTCATTTCAGAAAGGCCACCACCAGGAAACGTGTTATTTATTTTGACTATTATTATTATTATTATTATTATTATTATATTACCACTTTCAGCCTGGCTACCGTCCAAAGCAAGAAACAACCATAAGAATCCCAAGTTAAACTAGAAACTCCAATGTTGGTGCTGAGTAAATCACCTGGTGGTATTGGTAGGTAGGCAGGTTTTGTTACTAGTAGAAATAAGGCCTGAATGTCTGAGCTCTCTCCATAGTTGGACTGGCCATAGGGACCACCAGGCCAATTCCTGGGACAAATCCCGGGACAGTCGGTCTCAGTGGGTAAGTCCAGGGGTGAATTTCTGTCCCAGTCTGACCATGGCTCTCTCCATGGAGTGAATGCCCATCCGAGGTTCACTCTGTTCACACTGTTTTTCCTTGATTTCTGTCGCGCCCCCTGTTTGCTTTTTTGCCACCTCCAACAACAGGACTCTTTTTATTTTGCTGGGTAGAGATCCCACAGTTACTCTGGTTGTTCCACCATCCGCCATTTTCCACTAGCTAGGAAAGCTACCAATAGCTACCAGGGAAAACCAAAGCGCTACCCTTTTTCTGTTTTGGGTTGCACAGTTACACAGAGAAACAAGTGACTAAAGTGTGTGAAGTTCACAGAAAAAAAATTCCGTAGTGGTTTTATGAGCTAGAAACACATTGGCTTTACTTTGTCATTTAAAATGTACTTTCCACCAAATGTAAAACTGTCACTATCTCTGACAATCTGACAGTTAAGTGAGTCGATGAGATGAGATTTAGTTTAGTGAGGTCACCCTAGTTCAGGTTTGGTTTAGTGGGTTAATTACACTGTGTGTCTATAAAGACTTATAGTCGCAGGCAGAGGGAAAAGTATCACAGGAACCCTTAATGATCAATTCCCTTGTGTCCCTTCTGAAATATGAATTTGGAAGAGAGAAATGGGTTGCTATCGCGAGCGCACGATTGCGTGTGTGTGTGTGTGTGTGTGTGTATGTGTGTGTGTGTGTGTGTGTGTGTGAGCGCACGCCTGTGCGTGTGTGTGTATATGTGTGTGTGTTGGCCTGAATAAAATAAGCCACCAAGAAGCTTCATCAGACACCTGAGTGCCAGAGCTTTTGTATGACCTACTTCCTTCTGAGGGGTGCCAGTTGTGACCAACTCAGTCGCTATCATCAGTCATTGTTTGTATAGCTCAGTGTATTCATACTGATGTAAATACAAAGAAATAAAGACAAACAATAATAAAAAAAAGATAAAGATAATCAAAAAAAAGACACTCCAGAATTTGCTAGAGAATCATGATGTTTTTAAGTTTTCTTCCACATCAAAGTAATCTAGTGATAGTTGTCTGTACATCCATGGGTACTTTGCAAACAGGAACTGCAAATAGCTAATTTGGCATGCTTTTAATGGTTCCAGTTTGCCAAAATGTGAATAAATATAGGCTAAAAAAAGGTGGGTGCAAGTTGAACCCATAGGTTGTAGCCCACAGAGAGGCTGAAGGGGGGTGGTCAGACTTTGAAAACCCCTGATCAATCTTAGGCATTTATGGCTAATCAGATCAACCTTAAAAGAGAAAGACATAAAGTTACACATAGATTTGATATACTCACTTATACTCATATATTGCCATCATGTCTTTCATACAGGGGCGTCCAATAACTCCTGACAGAGAAGAGGAGCCTTCATTGCCATAGCGACTTCTCCTCTCCACCTTCAACCCACATTTCCCCTTTGACCCCCTTTATTCACCTGTTGAGCATTTGTATTCACTTTCTATCCTTCCACGTCCTCCATCATCTGTCACCATGACAACCTCAGCCCTGCGCCGGCAGGTGAAGAACATTGTGCACAACTATTCAGAAGCGGAGATCAAGGTATTATAGATGGACTGTGTTCACTTTAAGTACCATTGCTGTTTTTATGTGTTTATATGTGAGTCTGATTAAATGAACACTCATGTCACATCCAAAAAAAAAAAACACCTCAGAGCAAAACTCTCTACTTGCCTCTTACTTCATGTCTTGAAATGTCTGAAACTTGTAATCTTTCACTTTTTTATGACACTGTTACACAGGATGTGAACAAACATACAATTGACATGTAAATGTGAGAAAAAAAAATGGATATTGTGGTTCCTCTGCTGCTGTTGTGTAGGTTCGTGAGGCCACCTCGAATGATCCATGGGGCCCGTCCTCATCTCTCATGTCCGAGATCGCCGACTTGACCTTCAATGTGGTGGCATTTGCTGAGGTGATGGGCATGGTTTGGAAACGCCTCAACGACAGCGGCAAGAACTGGAGACATGTCTACAAGGTGATCTCAGGAAAGAAAGTGTCTGTCAGATTTGACCATAATTTTTAACCATAAGTCTCCTCTACCTGTGTGTTTCTCTTTCATTCTGTTTGCTGACTGTGTTAAATTCAGCTTCCTTCTGACCCCTGACCGCTCACCACCACTTCCCTCACTACTTCCATTCAGTAACATTCATGCTTTTTTTGTGTTTGTTACAAAAGCTGTGCTTAAAGGTGTCAGTTGCCTTGTAACATAGAGATGTAACAAAATACTGATTTTGGAGCATCAGTGTGGTAATCAGCGTCTGCCTCCAGGCCCTGACTCTGTTGGATTACCTGCTGAAGACAGGATCAGAGAGAGTGGCTCAGCAGTGCCGTGAGAATGCATTCACGATTCAGGTACTGGACTGTAACTAGAGGAGAACCTCAGCAATCTGAATGCCTCAGGAATAGAGCTGATTTACTGTTTATTGTTCATTTGGATCAGCATTAGTTGTTACCTCGGCAACCACTACTCATCCTGGGGTCTATATTTAATAGAAATACAGTGTAACCAGCAAATATTACGATACACGCAGAAAGAAATCACCATTTCAATCACCACCAACGGAATAAAATGTTAATCATTGAATAGAGTAAGCAACCAGTAAAAAAATTCAGAAAGTCAGAGGATACTTGATACATTGATTTAAATATTCATGCTGATCTGTAAACATTTGTGAACATGAGTTTTGTCTATGTGTGGTTCAGACACTGCGTGACTTCCAGTACGTAGACCGCGACGGCAGAGACCAGGGGGCTAACGTGAGAGAAAAAGCACGCCAACTGGTGTGTCTCCTCCGGGACGAGGAGCGACTCCGCCAGGAGAGGAGTCAAGCCCTAAAGACCAAGGAGCGAATGGCAGGGGGAGGCAGCGGAGGCGGCGGGGGTGGTGTGTACGGAGGCATACCCCCGTCTTACCACCCAGGCAGGCGAACGAGCCAGCCCAGCATGGCTGTGCTGTACGGGGAGGAGTTCAGCCGCTCCAGAGGCTCTCCGTCCTCCTTTAACTGTGAGCATTGTGGGTATTTAAAGTCAGAACTTGTCTGGAGCGCTTAACAGCTTATTTTATGTGGTGGCAGTTTATGAATAAATGGATGAAGAGTGAAAAACACACACTTGTATTCAGGCTTAACGCCACATCCCTAATGAAATGCATTTTGTGCTTTAGCCCAGCACTCAGGACGTGCCACCAAATAGATTATCAATACTGCAGCATAGGCCTGAAAATATTCAAATCAGCCACACGCACACACACTTCCTGTGCTCCACATCAGTCTGACCAGCTCTCCTCACTCACACTCTTACTCCTTCCTCCCTCAAACGCTTGTTCCCTCTGCTGCAGCCTCGTCCTCGTCTCCTCGTGCCGCCTCAGACCTGGAGCAGGCTCGCCCTCAGACCAGCGGGGAGGAGGAGCTGCAGCTCCAGCTGGCCTTAGCCATGAGCAGGGAGGAGAGTCAGAAGGTAAAACAACACACATACATACGCACACATATTATGATAATGTGTAATTGCCAACATACCCACCACCATACCTCCGCTCCGCTCCACACACACACGTCTTCTGTTTTCTAGCAACACGTGTCTCACATCCTCTTGACGATTCCAGAAATGAAAATGTTGTGACAAACGTTCTGAACATTCGCCCACCTTCATCTAGCTAGCCCTTCCTTCCCCTGTTACCATAGAGATGGATGAAGACACACAACTACAGATTGTGTTAAGCCTTAGCCAAAGGGAGCATGAGCAGGTACACACACACACACACACACACACACACACACACAGAGAAACACACTTCACTCCTTAAAGCTGTTTATTAACGTTTTTTAACCCTGTAGTTGTGTGTCTTTCTGCGTATCTGATGATGTGGCTCCTATGTGTCTCTGTGGTTAACTAATGACTTCCTTCCTAACTTTTTCCTTCCTTACGTCACTTTTCTCCCTTCCAGGACCGCTGCCATATCTCCCAGCAGCTTTCAGACTGCACAGATTTTGTTCGCCTCCTCTCTCCTACTTTAACAGTAGTTTTTATACATCTTTTCTCACACATTATGTTTGAATTTCTACATGTAATTTTGGAAGATTTCTGCTGCACTCTCTCTCTCTGCTTTGCCTTTAACCAGCCTCCGCTCTTTGTCAACTAAATATTTCAACAGTGCAAAAAAGCTGCTGGTGCTGCCTTCAAAGACTGTTTCACTAACGGCAGTGTGTGTGTGTGTGTGTGTGTGTGTGTGTGTCCGTACATCCACTCTCATTACCGTGGCGATAATGTTGATGATGTCACAATGCCGCCCCTGCAGGAGCAGCGCTGTCGCCAAGGAGACGAGTCTCAGCTACAGAAGGCCCTGGACGAGAGCCGGAGAGAGAGCCAGTCAGGGACACAGGAGGTGAGTTTAAAAACATGTCTGTGTGTGTGTGTGTGTGCGCGCACGTGGGTGTGTGTGCACTTGTGTGTGCATGCTGTACGGTAAGTGTGTGGGTGCATGCATGGTACATGAGTGTGCCTTTGCATGGAGAGGTGGGCAGGTGTATTTGTGGGTGGATTGCTGGCAGGCATTTAGAGAATGAAGTGGAGTTTATGGTGTGGACTGTGGGATAGGGAGGGAAACAGGACAAAAAGACATAGATCAGCATAATGAGGGAGGGTGTGAGAGAGAGAAACGGTAGAGAGCTGAGGGACGAGAGAGACGTGCCTGCTGAATGATAATGACATTGTCTTGTCTAACCTTGAGCTCAGCATGACATTTCCCTGAAAGCATCCTCCTTATCTTGTAGCACGCCAACTCCCGTATTCATGGTCCTGTCTACAAGCCAATCAGAGTCACAGGCTGTCTTATGTAAAAGTCCCCTTGGCTTGTAATTGGTCATATTATATTCTTATCATTATTATCTGGTACTTTTAGGTGCTCCGTGGAAAAAGATTAGGAATTAGGATTAGTAGAAAAAACTGTCTAAGAGAGCTCCTGGTTGTCTGACGTAATACCTGACGTGTTCACAAGGTCAGATACATGTCATCATTCATCATGTCTCATCATGCATTCAAAAATTGCATTTCATTTTTGGCATTTTATCTAATGCTTTAACTTTACAACGGGTGCCGCAGGATTCAATTCTTACACGACATATAGAAATACTTTACTTGGAATAACAGTTTGTGTCTGATATGGTTTTCCACATAATAGTTCAGTTACCTACTAATAAGCTCTTCTCTGTCACTGGAAAAACCAAAATATATGAATATGCAAATATTGTTCATTTCAAAAGTTTGACTTCTGGAAATCAGATGTCTCCCGCTTCACTGAAAAGTCCCTCTCTCTCATCACACATGTGCCAGTTGCTCATTGAACCTTCATGTGACTGTGAGTGAGTATCGAGCTTCTCATCTGTGGAAACCATGCAGAGGTGCCTGCGTCTGCAAAAATCAGGCGAAATCCTTGCACCTGTAGTTTGATAGTGCGGAGTGAAGAAAGGCGGGAGGGGCAGAAGAGAGATGATTCATGTGGTGAACTTTTGTTCCAGACTGAAATTTCCAACCCAGGACGTCACTGTTAAAATGTTATGTCCAGCATCTTCGTTTCCCGTGACGTTACAGTGCTGACTTGTGCAGGTTTATCTTGATTCCTGTTGTGATGTTGTGTATTTAGAATGTTTGAATACTTCAAAAACAACATTAGGTGCCAGTTTTGTCCTGTGCTAAAATGAAATCACTTGATTACTATGGTGGCCCTGAGAGCTCAACGCACGCACAAACGTGCTGCAAATTCAGAAAACATCATCAATTTGACAACACGGGTATTTTAGTTTGAACAGTAAACACAATGTTCTTAACAGGCGGCACTGCGGTCTAACTGCTCTGCTAACTCAGGTCCTGCAGAGGAATCTGAGCAGTGGAGTCCAGATGCAGCCTGACAAATTTATGAAACGATGACACCGTTTCAGAATTTCCTCAGGCGACTTTCACTGCGTTATATAATGTAATCTCATTGCCAACATGTACACCAACAATACAACATCAATACCACAACATCTGTGATATCTAGCATTGGCTTTTTGATACGGGATATTTATTAGGCTCTACAACGGACCAATGAATTAATTTACAACTCAAAAGGACACTTAAAAATGCTCTTTCTGCTCTAAATGTGTGTTTTCAGTAGAGTGGACTTCAGAAAACACATGCAAACAGACAAAACACAAGCAAAAAACAATTTGATAACACAAATTTTGGGTTAGAGTTAGGGTTTTTCTTCTGGATGGTTTGTTTGACTGAAGAGGTGTGAAGATTCTAAACCCATAAAGAAAACGCTATCCTTCAGTGAATCTGAAAAATCACAATTAAACACAGATTGATAAAGTTTTAACTGAAACAGTGTCAGGAAAACAGTTCAGCTTAGTTTCCACCTATGCTCGATTCACAGACATTCACACCACTAATTATTTCCCTGCTACTTCACTTAACTAACGTTCTCCGAGCTGAATGTCTAAGGAGTGTTTTAAAGTAATTTTCACGTCTATTATCCAGCCACACTGACTGTGACACTTCCCATACTCTCCTTTCACAGAGCTCATCAGGGTTAAGGGTTCAATATGTTTCTTTTGTCTCTTATCAAGAGTCTCCTGGTGCTTAAAGACCCCGTGACTCATACAAACCTGGAAGCAAATAAGAGAATGTTTGATTATAAGACTTTTTGCTTCCTCTGTAGTCAGCCATGTTGGACCTGGTGGACATATTTGGCACTTCCTCTGAGCCCGCACCTCCTCCGAGTGACCCTTGGAACTCAGCTCAGCCCACCTGCGACATCACTAGTGACCCCTGGGACTCTGTAGGTGGGTGGCTCCTCGCACACACACCGACACATCCACACACACACACACACACACACACACACACACATACAAACACACACACACAAACACACACACACAAACACTTCAGGCCAATATGATGCTACACCTGCTGTCTCATTGTGTTTTTTCATTTTCTGTGAGATTGTGTGTTTTTAATGCCTCACAATGACTTCTGGTGTTTTTTTTCATCCGTCCGTCTTCACAGCGGTTCACTCCAGCACTCCTGTGATTGGTAGCCCTTGGTCAGCCCCTCCCCCTTCCTCCGATGCGTCCAATCCTTGGGCCCCATGTGCCAACTCAGGCACAGACCCCTGGGAAGCAGCACCCGTCTCCTCCAGTCCTGTGAATGATGCGTGGGACAGCCCGACGGACGGAGGTACGGTACCTTTCAGAAACATTGGCCCACCTGACAAGCTCCTCTCAGATCGCACATACGTACTGATTGTAGTTTTCAGTGTCTAACCAAAAATGTAATCATTGCACTCTGCCTGTGATTGGACCGTTTTCATCACTTTTCAATTTCCTATGCAGGCGGTGACGGGAATGATCCGTTTGCTGCACAGGAAGAGGAGAAGCCCAAACAGGAGGTTCCTCAATTGTCCTCTCCACAGCCTGCCAGTCCCACAGGTAATGTAGTACAAGACAGCAGACAGCCAGAAGCACTGTGGCTTGCACTGTATATTTGGAATTCACAGAAGCAGTAAGTCTTTGACAATAGTCGGACAGAAAAAAATCTTCTAGCATGAGCCCCTGAACAGCAGGCAAAGTAATACTACATACAACTTATAATTACTTTTTATTTAAGACTGATCTGATCTCTAAAAAGGATTGGAGTAAATGAGAAAAAGCCTCAACCCTTTTGGTTTCCTGGTTTGTAGGATTTTGAGCTGGTGTAAAAACTCAGTCAAAGCCCAGTGCGGATCAAACAAGCGGACAGAGACTGCTTGAAAAAGAGGGTCTCAATTAGGGCTGAACAATTAATCAAAATATGATTGAAATCACAATATGGCTCTGTGCAATATCCAAATCGCAGGAGCTACAATTTTTTGATAGAAGTAAAATGTTTCACAACATACCAGAAATGACACGTTGTGTTGCTACAGAGATGTTTCAGTCTGCTGTGGTTCATTTGTGATGGAAAGCACACGGACGAACCACAGGACATTAGATGTGTCATTTCAGCATGATCTCAAAAGCTCAGCTACTTATAAACCCATGCCGTATGTTATATTTATGGAAATCATTCGGTAACCATGGCGATAATTATGTGCAACAGCATGTGAGTGTAGGGATTTCCTCTGCTCAGTCAGACAGTCAGTTAAAACTGCAGTCTGTTGCGTTTGTATCTGTAAACTAAAAGTTGAGTCTGTTTTAAAAGTTTAGCTGCATGTCATTCCCCCAATCTCTCTCCCCACATTTCCTGTTTAACTTTACTGCCACTGTCAAATAGCTGCTCTGGAGACCTGTGCCGGACCAACATTTACTTTAAAAAAAAAAAAGAAATGCTTTTTCTTTTTTCTCTTCCTGTTGCAGATGCAGAGCTGTTTGGAGTAAAGCCAGACTCTGACCCGTTTTTGGCAGCGGATTCTAAACCAGATCTGTTTGGAGCCGAGCCTCCTGTGAAACCCCAGGTAAATGGCAGAGAGTCTGCCAGTCCAGAGATGTTTGACCTATCCCGGCTAGCCCCTCCGCTCAGTGCCCCGCCTACACGTGTCTGTCGGACCCCAGAGGCCTTTCTGGGACCCACGGGGGCCTCGCTGGTCAATTTAGACGCTCTGATACCCCCCAACCCTCCTAGCAAGACGCACAATAACCCCTTCCTCTCAGGTAACAAGTTATTCAAGAACTCGCCTGCTGTACTTACAGAAATCTTATTCTGATTCACGAAAAAGTTTTTCCAATCAACAAATCCTGTTTTTTTTTTTTTCATCCTCAGGTCTGAGTGCTCCGTCTCCCACCAACCCCTTCCACAGCGACCAGCCTCGCCTCACCCTCAATCAAATGCGACCATCCTCCACCTCCCCGCTGCCCCCTCACATGCTCTCCTACAGCCCGTCCCTGCCGCTCCCTCTGCCCCACCAGCCGCCCATCATCCCCTCCTCTCTCACACAGCCTCCTGCCGGACTCCTGGACCTTCCCTCCAACCTCCCCCAACCCCTGCTCCCTCTCTCTCCGCGACCGGCGGCCCGCACTCAGTCACAGACACAAACACACAGCCACAACCCCTTCCTCTGAGACTCCTGCACCTTTCAAACTCGGGTCTGCAGAGGGAGACGACAGAGAATGACAGAGACTCTTTTTGGATCAATCTATGCTGACTACAATGAGACTTGTTTAAATGAGCCTGAACCGGATCCTGGTCTGATGTCATTGTGCACACTTGAGGTGGATAAAACCGTGGACTGGATGTATTTGTGTCCGTCCGAAGACACATCAGCTGCTATATAACCTGAACTCTTGAAGAAAAGCTAACTCACGCACACACAGACACACACTCAAACACGCACTCAGGCGCACTTCAGGGTGCACAGACACAAACATTATGCACAGACACAAGCATGCACACACCACCAGACTAACAGGGTGTATCTCAACAGTCCCTTCGATGCCTTTTTCCCCATCAACAGTGACGACTCCGAGCACCCTTTGACCACAGAGACACAACTGTTCCTTTGGAAGACTGGAATGAAGCCACACACTTTGATTGTCCATCAACATTCACCAGGATCCTCACCGCTGCTGCTTCACCGACTAAAGCATGAATGCACCCCCACCCATTACCCCCACCCTTACCCTCATCCTCCCCTCCTGAGGCTACAAACTATTCTATTCTGCTGAGCGCCTGAGAGGAGTTCCTCAAATAAATCCTCTGTTTTCTGATGAGTCAAATAGTATCTTGAGCTTTCTTGGCACAATTGAATCAATGGAGACGACTCAAAAGTGTGTTACTGTGAGATTCAAGAAAACATACAGCACTGTTCAAGAGCTAATTGACTCAGGCATTCCTTCCTACATGATGATATCTATTTTGCATTGCCTTGTTACCTTGCAAGCTCCATAGCATCTGGCCCTAAGTTAGCTAAGTTATTTGTCCTTTTAGGCGATTAGCTCCAACGGGATTCAGGTGGATTCAAAACTGGACTAAACCAGCCTAAGCTAGACCTTACTGTCTCAATCTAGACCTAAACTGATCACTGATTGTACCCTATCGGACCCGCGTGCCTGTCTCTACAGCTGACCCACAATGCATTCCCGGCTGGTTCATATTGGCGCCGTTGAGGAGGACCTCAGGGAGGCCGCTCTGTCCCTCCTCCACAGAGATTCAAACTTAGTGAATTGAAAGGCATTAGTGGCTATTTCACATGTGGGCATCAAAACAAGGGATGAAGAGAACAGATAAAGGAGGAGGGAGGGGTGAATGAGAGATTAATATAAAGAAAGTGAAATGATCACAGATGATAAACTGATGTATTGAGCAGCAGCTCCTCGTTCACCTCTGTTTTAGGAACAAGAGAGTCGGTGACGAGACGAGATGTTTGGTCATCACTGCACTGAACCTGGACTTGAATGTGAAATGCCTGCCTATAGATACACACAGGCTTAGTACATATGTATTTAATAGAATGATAACTATACAGTATGATGAAGTATTCTACCAATAAATGAATGGTGTTTGCATTATAATTTCCAGTGTTCGTGCAATTTATTTATGACTCATTCATTCATTTGTTAACTCGTTACAGTGTTGAGCTGAATCTAACAATTATTTTCATCATCAATTAAACTGTTGCTTATTTTCTTAAAATTTAATAGATTATTTAGTCAATAGAATGTAATTTAGAAATAATCGCTCTTGTTTATGATCAAATACCATCAGCCTCAGCTGAACTAGCAGTGTTAAGTGCTAATTAGCAAACGAGTGCGTTCAGAGTGTGAGGCAGCTGCTTAGAGGAGCCTTGGCTGCTGATTGTTGGGACAAGGATTTGAGGAGTCAGAGTATTTATAAAGCTTTGAAATTTGCACCAGCTGTTCTTTCCTAACGGTGACTGCGAACAAGCTAAATAGCAAACAAGCTAATGAAGGTCTGAGACCTTGGTAACAGTTATCTTAGAGCTCAAATCTCTTGGGTGCCCAAACTTTTGCATGGTGCTGCTTTCCTTTTTTTTTCACTCTATAATTGTGCAAAACAAAAATAATACATGAACTTTACTTAAAATGTTGAAAAAAATGTTCTCATTATCTTTCACTTCATGCCTCTTGGAGACCAGTTCAACTTGTACTCACTGAGCTATACACAGTAACAGAGTTTTCGACCAGGGGTGCTCAAACTTGCATGCAACTGGCATGCCACTGTAATTCTGGACACATCAATGCATTTGCTAGAGGATATTGTTTACTGTTTTGTTGCTAACATTATGTATGATAACAATAATATGTATGTCTTCCAGTACATTGCTGAAGAACTTTAAAATTCTGGTCTTAATTGGTTTAGTTTTTTTTTTTTTTTTTTTTGTGAGTAAATTAGTCTATTTGCTCGCTCTCAGTCAGATCAGCATCAAATATTACAACTATTACAATCAATGGACCAGTGGACACAATAATGCAGCTATGGGCTGAGTGAGCATTTTCCTTAGTTAAAAAGATAAAGCGTACCTCCTTATCCACAGGCTGGTTAGAGATTATGAAAACTCTTCCTCCTCTTTTCACTTGAAAAGCAACTTTTAGATGTTTACTCCATTACATTTACATCATGATTTTGTTTTCATCAAAAACAAAAGAAGTTGCATCACAGTGAGGGAGTGCTTTATGTACAGTAAATGTGTCCCACTACTAAAATGGTAGCTTCCAAGTCCTAATTTTATTTAAAGAGTAACTACACCCTAAATAATGAATCATTTTTGATTCTATATAATCACACAGAGTTTTCTTGGCATATAATGTTGATATTGTCAGTTCAAAGTTAGATCATTTCTGTCTGCTTGGATTTGAAAGTTCGGTTGGGTTGAATATTTGAATGTTTTTACACAGAGAATAATAAGATAAGAAGACCCCTCATTAGCCGGCTTTGCTTGTTTAGCCTGAACCAACACTGACCCAGTGTGTGATTTCAGACAGAATGCTGGCGCTCCACAATCAGAGGCATGTGTAACACACGTGACACACACCAACATTACACTAAACCCAAATCTAATGTTATGAAGCATGTGCTTTGTCCGAGACACACGTAAAAGTTTCCACTTTAACAATGGAACAAATGCAAAAAGGTAATGGACTGGGGTGCTGGGTAGGTGCACTTTCTTTCTACAGTTCATTATAAATGCATGACTGATATGTAAAAATACTAAAAACGAATCAATATATTGAACATCATACACAGGCCTCAGTGTATTTGACTGTCGTTTCTGGTGCAGGTTTTATTAATGGCAGACTTTGATTTATGGATCAGGTTTTATGATCCAGTATTAATTTTGATTTTATTCACATTCCACAGCTACGGTACGCACCTAACATAACAGGCCTGTATTAAAATGTATAAAGCAGTTTAGATATGCTTGACAGCTGAACAGCTCTGCTGTAAGGAAATAGAAGCTGGATCACTGTTGTCCAATGATGGATTCATATAATGACTTTTGTCCTGTGGCCACTAGATGGCAGCATTAAAACAGTATACAACTCTTTTCTTTCCAGCTATTCAGTCAGTGATTACTTTACACCCAGGACACAAGATAACAACACTTACATGCCTGATAGTGAAGCAAACCAGCAGTCAGCACACTTTAGGGTCAAATAAGCAGCCGCTGTTTTCCAGCGCTGCCCTGGAAGAGTTGATCTCACGTTTCATTCTCCAAACAAATGAAACTAATGAACTCTGTTGTATGTGTCTGTGGCAGGTTAAAAAAAATACTTTCACATGTAGCATTTCTTGCACAGGCGCATCAGAGAGAGGCCCAGTATCTTATAGAGAAGAGAGAAAGACAGGAAGACAGAAGTTTATCTCACAGTGCTTTAATCAAAGTCAGATTTATTATTATTAAACAGTTTGTATCAGAATGAATATAGTCAGCATTGTCCTGCCAATTTGCACATTGGTTTATGAGATTTCTATTATGCAAACAAAACATTTTGGCCTGAATGTGGTGCTTGAGGGGAGTTGATGTCAAAAACAAAAACAGTTCCTCCTCTGGGAAGCATGGATGTGTGCTCTGTACTTCTAGTGAATACCCGCACCAATAGATTAAAAGCTTTGGCCTGACGTCGGCGCAGGAGAAAAGGCCAGGAAGTCACCGAAATCAGTCGCATTGTTCCACTGGGGACCGAGAACATCAACGGCAACTTTATTGCAATTGAGGCTGTTGGTTTTCCAGATACTTTGTTGTGAACAAGGGGAATTTTTCATTTAATGGGGGTCACCAGATGTTTATGACTATATGTCCAGTTGTGGGGATTTCTTGCTCTGGACAGAATATGTGAGATGACAGAAAGACTGCCATCCTCAGCTGCTGGGTGAACAAAAACAAAAACATGGTTCAACATGCCGCTATCCTCCACTGTGTGTCTCCTGTGTGTGTGTCTGGCTGCACAAGCTAAATTAAATACCCACAAACTCTCTCATGAGGTCAAAGCAAAACTAAATGAATCAAGGAAATCCAATCACGTCCATAGACTCAGACACACTCACACACTTCCCTTCTCTTTCATGTTCTGTCCAAACAAAATCAAGTGCAGTCTGATCACAGATCCAAACAGCTGCAGTCTTGACCTCCAGATACAGTAACTCAACTTGTGCGCACACTTGAAATGCAGCATCACCATGTGGTGTTGATTTGATGGAGGAGGGGAAGTAAACGGGCGGTAGTGAATGATTGTGAGAACAGTTGTGAGATCGAGTGGAGAATATTTTCTATTGCAAAAGTATAGAAGAGACCTTGTGGACCTGCAGTGCAGAGAGATGGAAACACACGGTCAGAACAGAGACTCAGGGGAACTCGTAACCTCCGCCTGAACCTGTAAGAATGAAACATTTTAATAATACAACTGTCTTTTAGTTAATCGTGCATAGCTGTCGGCAACTATCAATCTCTGTAAGTCAAAAATTAATATCTGGTTACCTTCACAGGCCCAGTGCAACACGATAAATGGATGCTTTCTCTGGCCTCTCACTGTGTTTTCGAAAGACAGTAACACACAAATTTAATAATACTTTTATTAGCAGATAATTCCACAAGAGTAAAAGTTCGACCACACACACAAGCAAACAGTCTTTATGCTATCCAGTTTAGCAGGTGTGTGTGTGTGTTGTGATGCTTGTGTGGTGTGCTCTACGAATCCTCGTGTGTGTGTTGTGTGATGGTGTGTGTGTGAGTGTGTGATAGCCCTATGTGTGTGTGTGTGTGTGTGTGTGTGTGTGTGTGTGTGTGTGTGTGTGCTGATCAGTACAATCAGGCCAAATTTTCTCTTGATTCCACTTATCATGCACTCAAGCATGAGAGAATAATTCCTGATCTTGGCCCGGGTCTGTTGCCCCCCTTGGAGCTGTTGTTCCTGGCCCGCAGCGAGGCAGTTGTCCAGTTTCAAGAAGCATTCAGAGTGATGAATTAAGCTTTGTCTGATCAAGATGCTGCTGCAATGTGGGAACAATTAGTCTGCAGGAGAAACAAACTCAGACACTCTCACGTACACATACGCAGTGTTTATTCACTCAACGCAGTTTCTAAACTACATCCTGTCTGAGCGGTGCCCTGATTAAGGAGGATTGTGTGTGTGTTTTAGTAAAAATTCAGGACTTCATTAAAAATATCTCAGGAGGGCTTTGGCCAGAAGAGAGAGGCCGGTTACATGTGGGTTTATAAAGTGGGCAACACAGCAGTTTAAGCAGCTTATGTTCTTCCAGGCTTTTGTCTTTTAATTGTTCGTAATTCGTTTTATCAGGACACAAATAAAAAACAGTGATTAAAAAGAGATATAATATGACAATAAAAGGGGGATTTAGAGACCTTTACTCTGGAAACAGAGTTTGGATATATCCTAACCCAGGTCTGGTGTTTGGGTCCTGACTCAGACCATGATTCCAAATGTTGGATCGTCCCTGCTTCAGCTAAGCACCCTGATCTTTATTCATTTTGTTAAATATATCTTAATAAGCACATCATCTTAAACTCACACATACATGCCGATACAACACCTGCAGCTGCTACAGCAGTACAAAACACACACACACACACACACACACACACATACACAAACACACACACACACGCAGGCACACATGCACACACACACGCACATGCACATGCACACGCACACACACACGATTTATCTCTCTCTCATGATTCGATTACCTTTGCAAATGAAAACAAGAGTCAAAAACAACATTTCATTCCATCCTGTTTTTCTGTCCCCCCACACCAAGACAAACCTCCCATACTGTGGCTGCCAACGTTAACATGAAATAACACACTGATCTGGTTCCTATTCAACGCTCCAGGAAAAGCTGCAGAGACAGAGGGCCGCACTGTTACATGCCAGTACTGAGTCTGACCAAACAAAACAAGGACAGAAAGACAAGAGAGAGAACTGTTTACTTCAATGAATATTTTCTTTTAAAAGCCTGAATGATCTGAGATTTACTTCAAATTAAATCAAAAATACTATAAACATGACATCAGTGACATCAGCTGAGCGACTAACTCTCATCAGACTGTAGCTGCCCTCCTGAATAATCCAAGGATAAGGTATTGTCCTGATGGGATCACTTATTATTGAAACTGCAGTCTAAGCAATGATAAAATGCTTTATAAGCTGCAGTTGTTCCATATAGTTTAACACTGTTTTACATAGATTTAACCAGAGTGAAAACTGTTTACTTCTATTAATAGGTTCCATGCTGTTACCCACTGTCACTATGCTTTAAAAGGCCAGTCTATTTTTACAATTTAATTCATTCAACAACAACAAAAAAGATGTACTTTTGAGCTTGAAGATTCATTTTTGAATTTGGAAAAAATAATTATCAGATAGGGCCACCTGTTATCATGTGATCATGTGATATCAGCTGAAACATCTCCATAACAACTGAGCAAACCCTATCCATTGCGGAAGACCATGAGATATGGTGGAAAGCTCCTGAAAGTTTTCAGCAAATGGAGCTTGTACTATGAATTTATTGTCAAAATCCTATTGTCATGAACACTGACTGTCAAAACACAAATGATAGAGTACATAATGCACACATGATACTTTCTCTAAATTCCTGACCGAATGCAAATACATTTGGAAGGGGTAACTATGCTCTACATTGTGCTTTTCTCTTTTATTTATTCATTTATTTACTTTTTGAAATGTCCAGTTCTTAGAATTTTGATTTTGGAGAGCCAGAGAAAAAAATAAGAGTTCATTCTTAGTAAAAACCAAGAAAGTTTTTTCACCTCCACTTAGAAATAAATGGAGCCTGGAAATTTTGTTTTGCACTCACAGTCGGCAGGATATCGTCAATGAGATATTTGAAACTCCGTAGACTGATTTGAAAATATGAATATTTTTTTAAAAACATTTATCTTGCTAGCAGCTTACAGAGGGATTAAGGGCATAGTGGACATTTCAATGGATACAGTGAGAATAGCTGTGAGATAAAACCCTGTACTTGGAATAAACGTCATCTATGGCATTATTTGAAACAAAATAGACAGATCAAAAGAAAAGTGATCAATGAGATAACTGTTTTTATGTGTGTTTGTTTGATTAAGGGGAAAATTTAACTCGGGTGATGGCGGTAATGCATTTAATGCTTGTTGCCACCCGCCATAAAACGGAGGGACAAGAAGAAGAAGCTGTCAGCAACGTCACTGTTCCAGATGATTGACAGTGAGCTAGAGCGAATCCAGTGTCTGTTCATGTTTAGCGAGAGCCAATGAGCGTCTGGAGTTTATTGTTTGCGGAAGTTGTGAAGCCGCAACCCACCGTGCATGTCTGGACTACACGTTTTGCTAAAATTGTTACTTTGACCGTCACTAAAATGTGCAAGAAACATTTCAAGTCATGACCTTTGTTGACATATATGCATTTCATATAGAGTACGGTTACAACATGAGTGTTTACTGACATTTTGATTCACGTGCGTTGCCGCCGTGGTTTACACTCTCACCGACTGTGTGCAAACGACCGCGTTTTTACTCTGTTATTTCATATCCCATATGTAATCAGCCGAACCAGAGTCAGACTTTGGCTAAAGGCTTTGTGGTCGCCCACATGAGCAGCGGGCTCTCTGAGCAGCGGCGGGACGGGGTGTCGGAGACCGACATGAACCCACCGATGAAGAGGCTCCGTACTGCGGGAGGTGGAACAGAGACACCGAGAGGAGAGCAGCTGGAGGAGAGGAGCGCAGTGGATGTGGTGAGTGATAGACTAACTGACTTACAAGATAACACGGAGCTAAAGGAGAGAGGGCTGAATGACTGCATCAGTGGGTCTATGTAAACGCTGGCATAGAGTCGTTAATTCCACCCTGAAATTAATGCTGATGATTTTTCTGCGCACATTTTAATGTCAACAGCTTGTAAAACAAAGTCTCCCTATTGTGTGTTTAGTGAATCAACTATATCTGTCTGGTTGTCCATGCATCGCTTGTTTGTACTGAGTGTGTAATAAACTGATTCTCCACGCTTGTTTTTATCCTCAGAGTATTGTCATGCCAGTGTACAATGCATCCTGCTGGCTGGATGAATGTCTGCAGGCCATATTACAGCAAGACTTCACTGGATCCATGGAGCTGTCTGTCTTTGACGATGCAAGCACTGTAAGTTTTTGCGCGTGTAAATACCACTGTCTTGACTGAGTAACAGACTGCAGTTGAAGCTTAGTGTGTATTTCTCTGCGTTTGTCCCTCAGGATGACTCCAGGAAAGTGGTGGAGGGTTGGAGGGAGCAACTGGAGGCGAGGGGCATCTCAGTGGTGACCTCTAGCCACAACTCTGCCCAACCAAGAGGAGGTCAGTAAGGCCACACAGGTACTCATCTGATCAACAACACTGCCCAGGAAGATGTTTTTTAATTTTTTTTATTTTGGAAGTTAAATGAATTTCCTAAGGTGTATGCAACACACAGAGGTGTACATGTCAAGCCAAAAATATTGTTATATGTACTTTCTTCTTCAGGCAGTTATCTCTGTTAGAAACATTACCTCTGTAGTAACATTATGTGTCACTGGATCAGCAGGATTGGAAATGTGTTTTGCTTGGGGACCTGTGATGACAAAACTATATAGTTTTATAGTTATATAGTGTTCTATATATAGTATATTGTCATATTATTAAACTAGTTATGACTTAGTGCATCTCAAAACTTTCTTTCTCCTCAATGTATAGTTTACTTTTTTTTTTTTAAAAGGTCAGTAATGTACTGAAACAGCTGCACTCTAGTTTTTAGCAAACAATACTAAAATCAGGAGTAAATAGTGTGTATGTTGGAGACTCTCACCTGCTGTGGATTCATACACCTTTGTAACACACATAACATTTGTATGCAATAGTGTGTGTGTGTGTGTGTGTGTGTGTGTGTGTGTGTGTGTGCGTGCGTGCGTGCGTGCGTGCGTGCGTGCGTGCGTGTGTGTGTGTGCATTCAAGGTAATGAAGGGAAATGTCACCCACTGCCACAGTGTGGCTCAGTGAGCACAGAGGAATAGGATGTTTCACACACTTGTCAGTAGAATCACTTCAATGTTGATTTTGGTCTTTTCTTGGGATTTAATGGCAAAAAGAAAAAACAAAATAAGACCAGCCTAACATTTAAGAACCTTGGTGTTAAGTTTTTTATTCCTCTAAATCTGAGGCAGCTGAGCCGACCGTGTGTACTGTATATGTGAAGGAAAAAATGACAATGACAACTATATTTAATCAAAACACACTGGCAGACTTCAGTCACATATTAAGTCAGATTGTGTTGGAAACAGAGCGTGAGGGCATGTCTGCCGCTGTTGCATGTTTTTGGTTTGACAGTGACAAATGACAGTGTGGCATTTACTATGTTGTCAAGTGATTAATGGTTGAATATAGCACACGGCTAAATGGGAATAGCTACCACACAGGAGTACACACACACACACACATAAACATAGGCTGTTCCCTTGTCTTTCAGTGGGATATGCAAAGAATAAGGCAATATCTCAGAGCTGTGGAAAATACTTGTGCTTTCAGGATGCGGTAAGTATGTGTGTGTATCAAACAGGGCATATATTATTTAATCTTTCATAACACATACAGTAGTGAGTCAAAAATAATTAGATCATGTTGGTTTGTCCAAATATACAGGCTGTACGTATACACACTCAGACCTCAGGGGCTCAGTGACTGTTTGACAGAGCTGTCAGAGCACATGACTAATGACCTGAGCGCAGTGTTTCATATATACTATACGTGTTTCTTGTGCGTATGTTGTATGTATATGAGTTGCAGCCCTGTCTTTGGCACAGTGCTTTGTAGTTGTTCATCTGAAGACTGAATTGGCAAAAGTCAAAGGCCACAACATCTGAACTGCCCTCTCTTCACTTCTGTTCTGAGTGAAACAGCTTTCTTAAAAAACTGTCAACTTCTTCTATTTGTCCTCTTGCTTTTGCTGTTCTACTGCGAACACTGTTCACATCCTCTTTTCCTCTGGAAGCTTAAATTTAAACTTCTATCTTTATCCTTGCATTGAAATGCATTTTTTTCCCTCTGTATACTTCAATATTCTTCTTTGCAAGAAAAATCCAGAAAAGTGGGCAGCATCTTGTTTTTACTAACATTGTATGGTGTAAACTGAAAGGTCTTTCAGCTGCGATATTTCTTTAATTTATTTATGTCTCTAGATTGTATATTTTAGTTATTTTATATAATTTTGGCCTTTAATTGTACTTCTGTAATTGTAATCACCTTTGATTTGATTTGTGGTTTATGCGAAATAACTGCTGTAAAACCAACAACAAAAAAACAAAAAGGTGTTCAGAGAGACGCGCACATACTGTGAAATAGAGCAAAGAAAAACCTAAACTGCAACAGTTAAAATTTTTCATTTTAATTAAAGGTACCTGCTATGTATATGTTGTGACATGGTGCTGAATACTTACCATAATTAATATGTGCTATGTGTTTTGATTGATTTTTCATCTCAGGATGACGTTATGTTGCCTCAAAGAGTTCGTCTGCAGTATGAGGCATCTCTCCTCCACCCAAACTCTGTAAGTTCTCCCTCAAGCATTCGCTTACTCACTTCCTTCCCTCTCTGTGGTGCTCTTACTTCACCCCCCCCCCCCCTTCCCTTTCCCTCCCTCCTCTGGCCATCTGACCAGGTTCCTCCCTTCAAATAAAAAATATGCGTGTTGGTTGTGTGTGTGTGTGTGTGTGTGTGTGTGTGTGTGTGTGTTGTGTGTGTGTGTGTGTGTGTGTGTGTGTGTGTGTGTGTGTGTGTGTGTGTGTGTGTGTGTGTGGTGTTGTGTGTGCACTTCCATGCAGTTGGCATGCAGAGCAGTGTGAGTATCCGGTGTTGATGCTTTCTGAGGCCTGCCAGGTCAGAGGTCAAAGGTTGTGTGTGTGAGGGAAGTGAGGGAGACAGCATGGAGACAGCAGGCTTGCTGCCCTGCACAAACAACCTGCCCCTTTCTGTTATTGCTGTAATATTTCATGGTTGTGGGTAAAGATATGATTTGTTTTCAATTGCGTATAGCCTCTTTCTTCTTTATGTGAGCCCTTTGTTACTTCTCATTTAGCACTTTCTTTAGGGGCTTTGCTTGTACATGTCAAGAATGGTACAACTGATTTCGATATACAGTACACAGGACCAATATAAATATATATATCTTGCCGTATTGAAAATTTCTAGGGCTTTATTTTCATAACAATTATTCTACCCATTATTTTCTTGATTAATGGATGACTTGTTTGAAATTGTGTGAAAATAATAAGAAATGCATTCATAAATGATCAGAGCCCAAAGTCCCGCAAGTTGTCAAAATGTGATTGTAAGTAAATTGTCCAAAATGTGCCTTTATTGTGAAAGCTTACCACTGAAACCGGTGGTGATCGTAGTTCTTTCTAGACAGCTTAACAATAAACAAACAAAACTTCCAAGCTTCTTCTATTGCAGTATTTTTCCCTGAATGGCTGCAAATGTTTTCATTGGCTGTCAAAAGAAAAAATGTTTTTAACACTCAGAAAGCTGTGTGCATGTGTTTTCATGACAGCTGATTGGCTGTAGAGTCGAGAGGCTTCCAGAGGGATCCACAGAGCGTTACACCCGCTGGATCAACACAGTCGCTCAGGAGCAGCTCCTCACACAGGTAAACACTCGCAGCTTGGGCACCGAATGTGATTTGGATGTGTATGAATGTGTGTGTCCGCGTGCATATGAGAGGTCATGTGCCAGGCAGTCACCAGGTCAGATAGAAACAGGATGCATATCTGCCAGCCTCAGTTTCCATGGAAATGTGACAGTGGACACCTCACTGCCCATGACAGTCCCGCCAGAGGAAGCAGGTCACACTGCCAGCTGTCTGCTCAGAGCAGACGATAGTGGAAACTGTAACCTGGCAGAGGAAAAGTTCATTTTGCTGACAAAAAAGTTCTGCGAGCTTACTCTTCAGACTGCAGTACACATATAGATTTGTAGTGCTCATATAAAGCTTATTGTACTGGTCTGCTGTATGACTGATATCACTAAAGACAGCAGTATAGTTACTATAAACAAACAAATCCATCACCAAAATTTAAAGGGTTCCCATCAGACTGGATGTCATAAAAAATAGTTCAATGGCCCAAAACAGAAAAATGATGTCCCTAGAGAGCAGGTGGAGCCAGAGTTTCTGTCTGTGGCAGATGATAAAATTAATGGATTCCTGTTTGCTGTTATCAAGCGCCACCTTTCCTCCTTCTTTCACTTCAAAACAAGTACAATGGAGCAACAACATGGAGAACTAGGACAAAACAAGTGTGGGTCATCATGACCGAGTGTTGCTTTTTCACCCCAAACACCGTGACATGTCATAGCAGGAGAAGCATGGGTGTCACTGCTTACATAGATATCATATGAGAGATATGTTTTTGCCAAATTGCCAATTACTGGGATAATAGACGTTTTCTGGGCAGGCCATATAAGTTGGGCCCATGTAACTCTGTTCCGCAGATCAAGGTTAGCCTGCCAGACAACACTGAACCAGGTCTAGTGTTGAGTTCAGACTCCACAACATCAGCCGTCATACTTTGGCCCACCCAGAGCCTTTCGAGGATGTGGTCTCGGTTCGGTCCCAAGCGAACTCTGGAGCGTTTCTTTTTTTGGTGTGAAAGAGTTCCGAACTCAATCCGACCCCACCAGCAGGTGAACTCACAAGTTTGAGCTTCTTCCTGTATTTACTTTCCTTCTCCTGTCACTCACTTCACTTTTTCTGTGTGGAAGCAAACCACACCAAGGGGAAAATGCTACAAGTTTACAAACCCATCAACTGAATCGGACCAGAGCAAACAAACATTAGGTGTGAAATCACCTTCTTCAGATACATGCACCGTATGTATGCTGGGCAGCCAGCCACACACTCACCCCATTTCTACCAACAGGGAAGGAAAATAAAGCCCAACTTCACCAACAAATGACAACAAATAATTCCAGGTTCAACTTCATTCATGAAACTCATGGTTACATATGCAAACATGTGTTGTTGATGCTATCAGATGGAAAAGGTGAAGTCGGTCTCTGTGAACCTAGGCACAAGTTGTGACAGATGGCAAGCCATGATTGGTCAGGGTCTAACATGTCATCTGCCATGACTCCCGATCAAGAAGTGTATCAGTGTCCATCTCAAATGACAGAAATCCTGGTAATGTGGCCCAACATAAGCCAGCCAAAGTGATAACATTGTCCTTATATTGGAATAGTGTTGGCTTGCTAACTTGGCAAAACATAAATGTTGACATTATAATACATTATGTCATATTTTTTCTTGTCACAAATGGATGACTTTAGAAAGTCAAAATATAAAGTGGTTGTGTTATTTAGTGAAAATCTGTATATACCACTTTTAAAGCTAATACTTCCTCATTCCACCACATTGAATAGTCACAGTAATCACTAAATGATAAGAGAGCCACTGATATAAAAGTGAAACAATGGACCACTGGCACTAGATGGAAGTCTACTGTTGCTGTCTGAACAAAACACACTGTCACCAAGGATACAAGACAACCTGGACTCACTCTTTCACATACACACACACACACACACACACACACACACACACACACACACACACACACAAAGTCTACATAACTCCTTAGCAGACATTCCAGGATATTTATATGATATTAAGTTTCATGGAGCATGAGAATGAGATCATACATTGATTCTGCAGGCTTAAAAGCAGCTCCCTTTCTTTGCCCTTCTCTTCCTTCACTTTATCTTTCTTTACTTTCAATTTCTAGGCAAAGGAACAGAATCTAACTGTAGTTAAATCGGAGATTAACTCAGGGTGGTGCTTGTTTAACTTGATCCAGAGCTGGACCCTGAGGGTTCATCTGTAGGACATTAGATATGGTTATCCAAAACTTTCCCTACCCCACTGACTAATCACATCCACATCAGCTCTTTCTCCCTCTCTCTCTCTCTCTCTCTCTCTGTGTCCACTGATTTCCCAGAACTCACTCTTATTCCTCTTATTCATACTTTTGGCCACAGCTTACATCTGCAAAATGTTGCAATATTTCAACAGAAATGAGAAGAGATGTACGTAGGTGGGGACACACACACACACACACACACACACACACACACACACACACACACACACACACACACACACAAACACTCACACATATTCACTAGATTCTGTCCAGCTGTTTGACTGGCTGAATCCAGATGTTTTTCACAATTTTCTTCATCTGTGATGCATTTCAGTTATGCAGTAGTATTCTACTTCAGCCAAGAACAGTTTCACACACACATCCAAACACACATGCACATGTACACAGGAGCATGTGAAACTCAGTGACGTAGTCGTACGAAGAAACATCAACCTGGAATGGCCGTCAGGTTCAGAATGCAAAAACACTACTGTTTCAACAGACACACACACACACACACACACACACACCCAGAGGAAAGGAGGAAGAAGAAGAGGTGGGGGTCTGGAAAGGGAGGAGGGGAACAGTGGAACGAATGGGTTGAGGGCTACATCTGTGAAAAGAGAAAGACATATAGAGGCCACGGTGTGCTCCTGGTGTATTACAGAGTTTGCGGTCAGAGAGAGAAGGAGAGGCCAAAACAAACTCAACAGACAAAGATCATGCGAGAGAGGATGGAAGTGTGTATCCTTCCACTGCACACTTCAGGAAGCGCACACTTCTGTGAGACAGCACATGTTGCTGCACTCTAACCTGTTTTGTTTGCAGGAGTAGAAGTTAACAGTCCGTCTTCATTTGACTGTCTGTTCCGAGAAGCCAAATCGGAAATTTCCCCGAACCATGAGCCAAATGCTGATCTGGTTTGGCTGATATGATGCATGTTATGTTACAGTACGTTCTGTAACCGCAACATGATAAACTTTATTTTTAAAGTGGAGCTGTGTGTGTGTGTGTGTGTGTGTGTGTGTGTGTGTGTGTGTGTGTGTGTGTGTGTGTGTGTGTGTGTGTGTGTGTGTGTGTGTGAGAGAGAGAGAGAGAGAGAGAGAGAGAGAGAGTGGGGTGTGGCTTGTCGTGAAATAAAGTGCAGAGGATAAATCTAATTACATATCCTGGTAACTGTTGCAGGATGTGATTGTAGAAGCCTGAGTGCCGATTTGTTTGCGTGTTTACATTAAACATATACAAGATATATTTATTGATATATGTTAAAATAAAACTGTACTTATACTCATGACAACTAATACTGTTTTTTCAGGTGCACTGGTCATGCTGTAGTTTCCCTTGCTTTCTCACTTCTACAAGCTTATTTTAGGTCGATGCTGCAGGTTTTCCGTTCCTCAATGCTCTCCCTTTACCAACAACAGACTTTTATTCAACCTCAGATCAGTTACAGTGCTTTTACTCAATCTCTTGCTCGTCTTTGGTTTATTTAAAGCTTCTCAACTCACAGACTGAGCACTAATTGATATGGTCACTGTATGATTTCTGCTTTCTGACGGGGATTTTCATTTTGTCTTTCACAGTTGTCAAATCTTGAATGATGATCCGAGATAGTGTTCGTGTTATTTCACAAGTGGTCATCCAATGACTTATTAAGACATTTATGTTGTTTTTTCCATCCTCCATCTGCATTTGTTGGTTATGATGTGATCTCTTATCTCTCCAGTGCTTCCCCATTCTCACACAAACCTTGTTTCAGATGGCGCAAGATGTACAAAAATAGACCTATAAATATAACCCAAGTTCTTTGAGTGAGCATCTACATGTAGCATCTCATCTGATTAATCCCTGGTGTTTAAGGATTTGACAAAGTGACACAAAATGTACCTAAAATTGTCCCTTCACAGGGACCAGTATGGACATGTACAGTATGTCCTCAAGTCACAGTATAATATACTGTAACTGATATCGTGGGATTTCTGGGCTATATGTATCCAAGTGTTTTCTGTTACAGTTTGAACTGTTTTTATGTCTCAGGTGTACACATCTCATGGCCCCACCGTTGTCATGCCGACATGGTTCTGCTCAAGGAACTGGTTCCTGAAGGTTGGACCATTTGACGAGGGAGGCAAGGTGAGAGTTCCCAGAGCCTTTGCACCCAATGTTCCTTTTTCTCTTTTTGTGTTCCCGATTCCTCTCTAGATGACACAGAGTCCAAGCATTGGCCCATCCTCAGATGGGCTCCATGTTCAATGCTCCATCCGTGTTCAGTTTGAACATCTATAATGTTAGCCTGGTTCCAGACTCAGAGTCAGATTTGATGCCCGCTGCTTTTTCCTTTTCCAAACTTGTGGTGTCTTCAGAGCTAACTGAAGTGACGTCACTTCATCAGACCTCTCGCGGCTCCCTCTGGGGACACAAAAGGCTTTTTACAAATCCTTTCACATATGCAGTAGTAGTTATTGACCAAGAGCTGGAAACAGACTGTAATGTGTAAAATCAGTGGAGTTCCCCGTTAAATCCAAATACTTTTATTGATCAGTGTCAAAAACATTAAGTAAACTGCTCTCAGTAGCTGCTGCCATCACTCTACTAACAGTGTGGGGCAAAACTAAGCAATATGCCTCCCTTCTCCCAACTAGAAATTGGCTAACGTGAACACATTGTCAGTGTAGTGTGTCAGAGTAAATGTTTTGTCCATAAAATGTTAAAATTGAATGAAAAATGAGAAACATCACAGTTATCCCAAAGTGACGTTTATGAATTGCTTCTTTTGTCCAAAGACATTTCATTTACGGTCATAAAAAGACAAAGAAAAGCAGCAAATCTTCACATTTAAGAAGCTGGAACCAGCTGGAATTATTAATTGATTATCATAATACACTAGTTGCCAATGAATTTTTTTTCAGTCGACTAATCGATGACTACTAAAACCTTCACTTAAACAATAACATTTTGGATTCGCTCAGGCTTCCTTTATAATTATGCTTTTACCTAAACTGACACAGCCACCATTAACAAATATTGAATATACATCTGGAACCATTATTTCATACTCTACTTCCTCCTCTCCAGGGAGTCCCTGAGGATCTGATCTTCTTCTACCAGAGTCTCCGTCAGGGAGGAGGTCTGTCCAGGGTCAGCCAGTGCCTGCTGATCTACCGTTACCACGAGAAGGCCACCACACACTCTGTAACAGAGTCAGTATCTCCACACACTCCCTTCCCCACTCGGCTACACTCACACACACATATTTGGATGCAGTGTTGCTCATCCACCTACTCACAGCTGCCCCGCTGCCATCCCACATTTTCTCAGGACTTGACACTCTCTCACACAATTATGCACACACACACACACCCACACACACAGACACATGTTTTCATAATCTTGACATTTTCAGAATATGTTTTTGGAATTTCATTCACTTTCCCAGCGTATGATTCAGGAATTTCACCATGTGTTGTTCTCAGGGTTTAGTCTCTCTCAAAGGGAATCCGAACTTGTTGTGGACAGAAGTGAACGTGGTGTGTGTGCGTGTGTGTGTCTGAAGGAGCTGACATTCCTACTGTTGCCTGTGCTTCAGCAAGGTCATGTAGCGTCTGCAGGTGTGTGTGTTTCTACATCAAAATGTAAAATGCACCAAAAGGAGAAGGTCTTTCATGCCCCCCAACCCCAACCCCCAACCACACACACACACACGCACCTCCCTCCCTTTCATCCCCTCTTTCCTGTTGTCCCTCCTTCCTTTCCTCCTTCCTTCCTTCCTTCCTCCCCTACATCTGTCCACTGCTCGTATATCTGCCCGTGTTGACGCAGTCCCTCACCGATCATCCTCCTCTCTGTCTTTATCTATCATCTGTCTATTTTTGGAGGCCTATTTCAAGCTCGCCTTGCCTACTTTCCACTCTTCCCCACTTCTTGTCACCCTTTCCTATCACAGCCTACCTACTTCCTCTCTAGTTAAATTAAGCCATCATATTCTTTCTTTTTGTCAGTCTCTCTGTCTCACATATACATTGATGTAATTGTACGCTCAGTTGTCTAGACTAATGCAGTATAATGTTCTAATGTTCAGTTTTTATTCTGACTGTGTTTCTATTACTTAGCCTGCCCTCACTGAGTTAAATGAGGTGGACAAAATAATAGGAACACATGTCAACATAACGCAGTACAATTCTACAGCACCACAAATCGCAGCCACCAAAATGATCATGCAGTTGAACATCATAGTCTTCATGAGGGGAAGATTTAGTGTAGGATTGCTGTATTAGGCTGCACCAGCTTTAGCTAGGTGTTCCTAATAAACTTACAACTGAGTGTAGATCTTTTGTATGTGAGAAATGTTTTTAAAAAATTAGTTAAGATGGTGTCATAGAGTAACTGAGTTGAGAGGGTTCTTAACGTGGAAAGGCTGTGTTTATGGATGTGGGTATGCCTGCATGAGTGTGTATATGTTTGTGCACCCCTCATGTGTGTGAATCTATACCAGAATCTGTGAAAGTGTTTGCCTTTTGATCTGCAGGGTATTAAGGAGATGAAGGCTTCAGTATGTGCATGCAGATACAGTTTACAGTAAATCTCTGCCATGTTACTGCCATGTCTTGGAATCAAAGCCTGTATAGAGATTGTATAGAAAGCAAACCATGGACCACCCGCACTCCACGATGGTGGTGGGTTAGGGTTTGTTTGTCATATGAGGCCCACTGTTAGACACACTGAGATGCTCACATCAGGAGATGAGAGTGGAGTACCTCCTGTGACTATATGCGTATAATTACTCAGTGCATGCCTCTGCGTGAGAGAGAGGGTGAGGGAGGAGGAAGGGGTGAAGAGTGTGAGGAGAGCATCAAGACAGACACTTTATTAGGAACACCTTACTAATACTGGGTCTGTCTTTGCTCTCAAAATAGCCTCAGTTCTTCGTGGCATGGCTTTCACAGGATGTTGCACACGTTCCTTTGAGATTCTGCTGATGTCATGCTGACATGATTACATCACATCTTTTCTGTAGATTTGTCAGCTGCACATTCATGTAGCCCGTCAACCTCAAGGTTGGACGTGTTGTTCATTCTGAGATGCTTTTCTGCTCACCACGGTTGTGAAGAGCGGTTATCTGAGTTACCTTAGCCTTTTCTATCAGCTGCAACCAGTCTGCCCATTCTCCCCTGACCTCTCTCTTCAACAAGGCGTTCTCATCTGCAGAACTGCTGCTCGTTCACTGGATGTTTTTTTGGTTTTGGCACCACAAACTCTAGAGACTGTTGTGTGTGAAAATCTCAGTAGATCATCATCTTAAGAAAGACTCAAAGCAGCCAGTCTGCAACCAATAATCATGCCATGGTCAAAGTCACTGAATCACATCTTTTCCTCATTCTGGTGTTTGATGTGAACATTAACTAAAGCTCCTGACCTGTATCTGCAGGGTTTTAAGCATTTGATTAGATAAATGCACGAATAAGCAGGTGTACAGGTGTCTACTTGAAAAATCAGACAGTACTTTATTGCTGTTCAATTATAGCTTTTATTAAACACAATAAATACTTTTGGAAGATTCAGAGGGTGGATTATGGTCAGACACTGAAAGCATAAAAAAAGCAGTTAACCTGGATGTGATTTTTGTATTTTTGGCCATCATTTCTATCAGTTATTATAGATATGTCGATATAATTGCTGTAATCTGGGAACATGTTAACTTCATTAAAACAAAGTCCGACAAGCACAAAACACAAGCATTTAGGCAATCAAACAGATTGTAAACCAACAGTTCAGCCAGATGTTTAAACCTCTGTTTGGAGGTAAAACTCATTTTGAATTGAGTTCACCTGAAAGACCAGTAGTCTCATAGTCTTAATTTCATAGGAAATAATCTGCTAAAAAAACTACAGCAAATAGATAAAGTTAAGCCAGAACATTGATATATAAGCTGATTAGATATGCAATAATTAGTTGTCTAGTTGATTAGCTTATCAAAAGGAAAAGAATTGGCAACTATATTGATAATTTATTCATTTTTAAAGTCAAATTTCAAGCAAAAATACCTAATGGTGATGGTTTCAGGTTCTTCCTGACTGTTTTCTGATGTCTTATAAACGATAAGTCAGTCGAGACAATAACTGGCAGATTAATCAATCGTGAAAATAATCATTAATAATAATCATTAGTTGCATCCTTAAAGCTGATGAATGATTTTAGAGTTGAGATAAAAGTTAACTCTTATCTTTAAGTTTGTCTAGATCTGAGCATGTCACAGTTCAAGTTCCTGCTGTGTCAGACATCTTTTTACCAACGTCCCGTCAGATGTCAGCAGATGTACTTAGTAGGTAGAATCTTATTACTGAGAGAAATGATGGGGAAAAAAAATTGGATCTGATTGTATGAGCTCTTCTTCTATCAAATGTTTCTGTCAGCGTGTACTTACGAGTTTTCTAGATTAGTTTTCCTAATTTTCAGACAAAATAAAGCAATTACGTCTATAGACAACATCTCTAATTTTAAGTTTGTACTCCTCCTGCTTTTGTGAGCCCATCCTCTGATCATCGCCTCATCTGTTGTCAGGGAAACCATTTGGAAGCTACGAGTGGACTTCCTGCAGGAGAGAGTACTCAGCCAATGGGAGAGCTTCACCATATGGAATGCTGGGAAACAGGGCCGGAAGCTGTACCGATGCCTGAGCCCGACCAATCAGAAGAAAGTACGTTACCTCCACTTGTGAGACAATAACTAAAATATATTTTTCTACTGTTATTGGTCCCTCTGTGATAGAACTGGTGGGAGAAGTTGTGTTATGCAAGTGTGTGACAGCATTCCCCGCCTCACTGATTCATTTATCAGGTCAAAGCTTTCTGTGATGTGGACGAGAACAAGATCAAGAAAGGCTTTTACACATATGAGGAATCCAAGGTGAGGTCAACCACTGTGGATAAGTGTAATATGTTTATTGTGATTTAATGTTACAGTTAGCTGGGAAGGTCATCAAACCAGAGATATTAGCTTTAAGGCAACATTTCAAAATAATGCTTACCCAAATATTTTATTTCACTGAATTTCTATGAAGCTGTAACAGTGATAAATGATTTGTTTGACTCTCTTTTGGCTGATATCTTTTCAGGAAATACCAAAGCCAAAAATCCCAATTCTGCACTATAAAGACGCCTCCGCGCCCTTCATCATCTGTGTTAAACTGGTGAGGAGAAAGTGTGTTTGTGTGTTGTATGTTTGCCGTTTCTGACCGTTTGTCCCTCAGGTCCGTAATCTAAGTTAATGACATAATAATCGAGGGCGTGTGCCCGGCACAGGGCATAACACACACACACACGCAGAGGAGAGGCGGTCAGGAATTGGGTAGAGACTGCAGCCTGATCTTTGATCACATGATGCTTGTACAAACATTTCATGTTTTTGCCATTGGTCAGTTTCCACGTATGATATTTTGGCATATATTTTGTATTCAAAAAAATTAATTAATTTTTGCAGGGCATTTTTCTAAGATATACATATTCTCTTTAATTCTTTTTTTTTTTTTTTTTTGTACAGTAACACACACACAAACACACACACACACGCACACACACACACATTCAGGCAAATCACTAATTACCTATTTATCACCCAGCCAGATCCAGACATCAATTCTAGAGTGACCCCACCTATGGGGGCTACTAATTGCTCAATTATGGAAACTGGGAGAAGTAATCAGAGTCAGAGGACAAGGAGACCTGGACTCAATCATACTCTCTCTCTTTCTCTACACTCTCTCTCTCTCTCACACACACACACACACACACACACACACACGAACACCTGGACTCAATCAGACAAATTTTCGACCCAGATGTCAAATAACCATATAATCAACAAATATATTCAACTGAACTTTTCTCATAGGCCAAGGTTAAACCTAATTAACTGTAGGTCAGTCTGAATCTCTTTAGTCTGTGTACAACCTTTGGCATTAGTGCAGTGCAGCAGAGACAATGAAGACAAGAAGGAAAGCAAGCAAGTTTAGCCAGTAGGACAAATGATGGTGCTTCTTATGTTGTTTTGAGGAGATTTGTGCCCTCCACCATGTTTTTTGTTCCTGCTTTTTACTCAGATATTGTTTCGTTTGCAGGACATGACAGGAGGTGTTTTGGAGGAGAACCTTAACTCTTTGCATCTGAAGGAAGGAACAGATTACTACCATTTCAACTGATTGCTTTGAGAGATGGAGAAGACAAGAGGAGCCCTGCAGAGGAGAGGATTATTTACTACGTAAACACAAACTGAGGGAGAGGCAGGTAATAACAGGAAGAGAGGGAAGTGAACACTGGAACAGAGGCGATTTCTCTGCTTTCTCTGTCTCACACCTGAACCACAGCACTGGAGCTGTTACAGTTTTCAGAGAACCTTAGAGGAATAGTTTGACATTTTGGTGCAATACGCTCATCTGCTTTCTTGCTGAGAGTTAGATGATAAAATTGATACCACTCTCATATCTCGCCATTGAATATGAAGCGACAGCCAGGACTCACTTAGCTTAGCTTATCTTTGCACAAATACTGGAAACAGAGGGAAACAGCTGGCCTGGCTCTGTCCAACTGTGAAACAGATCTATCCTCCTGCAAGTCTAAAGTTCACTTATTGTTTATCCATAAAAACATATGCACATTGTGTGCATAAAAATGGAAAAACAAAAATTCACAAAAATGTCTAAATTTCGCAAAACAGTTTATATGCTTGGCTTGGTGTATTGATAAAAACAGATGAAGTGAATTAATCATGCCATAACACTTAATCACTTTTCATAGAGTAAACAAATACATGCTTGAGCTTCAAACTTGCCTTAAAATGGATTTTTTTTATTTTACCTCTGACTGAGCCAGGCAGCTATGTTGATGTGGAGAAGTGGAGCAATGTTTTGGTAACTGAATTAGCAAGAAGAGCATATTTGGACCATTATATTTTATTTATCAGAGGACAGCTGTTTATCATGCAAGAGGACATTACAAATTACCAGTGTCGACCATTGGAAAAATAAAATGTTATGGTGTTTGATAACCCTGTGTGGACTGAGAGTGGTATTTGTTATCCTGTATTCTTGAACTTGTGCCGAAGTTAAAGGAAGCAACTGGAGTCAGCGTGTCATCAGACAGAAGGTTTAACTTACAAAGGGTGGGATGTTTTATGACCAGAAGTCTTGTACTGATTTCTTAACAGTCTTCTCTGATGCAACCATGCAAAATCAGATACACGCACACATCTGCTATAAATGTACAAACATGGATTCTCTGCGTATTTGTTTTTCTTTCCCTGGGTCTCATGAAATCTAAAGAACAATAACCTCTTTAAGAAAGCACAGTTCTGATACGTAAACACACACAAAAAGTTTATTTTACCTCACAGAGTGAGGAGTTTTTCTGCCCAAAGGTAAACAGACCTTTCCCCACAAAATCTCCCCCAGTGTTTCCTGGGTAAGAGAGGCGGTCTGCCTTACTGTAAATCTGGCCACAGCAGTTTGTAAGGACGAAGCAGTGATGCTACAAGAAAAAAAAAAAAAAAAAAAAAAACTGAACGGGGGTCCTCAGTTCTGCCAAACTTTTATTTTCACTACCTTTGTCACTACAGTCAAAGATACAGAAGATACAGTCGCACAGTGGTGTGGATGTACAGAATCCAGTTGGATTCATTGTGTTTAATAAATTATAGGAATGTTTGGGCCTGATTCAACCCAAACAGTCAGGTTTGAGGTAAAAACCCCAGACCTCTGCCCCCACAGTGCAGTGCTGTGTAGGAGCTGAGAAAAATATCACATCCACTTAGCACTTAGACTCCACCTAGACCCCTCTTCCCTCTCTGTTTCTATACACAAACACTTAAACACGGACGTGTCTTCCCCTTTGCAACAGGGCAGGAAGTACTGATTATTTTCATTATCAATTAGTCTTGTTAGTTTCTGATTAACTGATTTATCATTTTTCTATTAAAAAAAAAAGGCAAAAAATGCCCATTACATTTTCCTAAAGTGATACCAACGATCTATATCAACAATCTAAAACCCAAAGATGTTCAGTTTACTTTCACAAAAGTCCAAGAAAATCAGTAAATTTTCACAATTAAGAATCTGCAAATAATTTGAAATTTAATTTTCTGTTGGTCACTAAATCAGCTAATTATTTCTGCTATATTTGCAGGATTTAAATTTTTTGACATACATCTGTATTCATCTACAACATTGTTTGTTTGTTTTTTAGTGATGCTAGTGGGCTGGCAATGGTAGCAACCCAGTATTGCAGTAGAGCAGTCAGTTCACCACTTTGGACCAGACAGAAATATCTTAAAAACTATTTGGATAGTTTGCCATGACATCTTGTACATATATCCATGTATACACACAAATATGTTGGTGATCCTCTAACTTTTCCTTTAGTGACACCATACGCTTACATTTGTGAGTGAAAGGTCAATAATGGAATGGATTGCCATGAAATTTGGTCCAGACATTCATGGTTCCCACAGGATGAACTTTAATCATTTTCATGTTTCTCAGTCTTCTCATCTAGCGCCATCATCATGTCAAATTTTTACTTTTGTTCAATTTATGGTTTATGACCAAATACCTGATAAACTAATAACATTCCCATCCTCCTCAAATATACTTTAGCTATTGACGCACAATGAGTACATCACCTCAGCTCACCATGCCTTTTGCCAAATACTGTATTTGAGTGAAACAGCAGGCTCGATGTTTCTTTGTGGCCACTCATATTTAAAGTGTAGGCAGTCATGGAGCTTTAAGGTGCTTTGGATAAATGTCCACCAAATGGACTCCATATTTTTTAAGATGTAAAGAATAGAAGTGAGTTGTTTAAGTAAGACCACACTCTGTCTAATACATCCTGTCTCCTTTACCCACTCTGCCCTTATGATAAAGCACTTGGTAGGTGATCAGAGTTCGCTCTAATGGAGAATCTATGAAAGAGACTCAGAAAGAGAGTAAACAGAGCTTTACTCAGTGTTTATACTCTGTCTCTCTACACACATCAGACCTGATAACACACACACACACACACACAATGAATGACCCTGACCCTGGAGCCCGCTTGCCCTCACTGGTCAAATAAACCTGCACGTGTGTAGAAAAAAAATGCACGTGCACACACACACACACACACACACACAAACATAATTACACTCTTATACAGCTGCATGTTTTCTGACAGTGCAGCTGATAAGAGAGAGAGATAAGAGGCGGGTGTGTTTGGGTGAATAGAGCTCACAGAGGTCAGACACTGAAGGCTTTTTCATTCACCTGGAACATTACCACATTCCTTTGTTTCAACATCTCTGTCTTTCTCCAAGTATGGTGTGTGTGTGTGTGCGTGCGTGCGTGCGTGCGTGCGTGCGTGTGTGCGTGACTGAAAAAGAGAGACTGGTAACATGCTGGGGCTACACTGCCCCATTTCTCTCCGTTATACTCCTCCTGTAGTTCCTGCTCTCTTCCTTTATGAAGTTACGGGTTATCTTCTTCCCTCTTCAACAACAACTGTCAAGCTACCCGTGAGCAAGGGACCCAACCTCCCAACAGATCCAGTGCAGCTACTCAGTTGTCCCCTGTGAATAAATAAAGATTTTCAAAAAGAGAGAGGAGTGTGCTGCTCGCGAGTGACGAGGAAATAAAGGTCACGAAGGTTGAAATCAGAGATAGAGGAATGTGTGTGTGGCTTCATGAGGAAGTACTGTGTGGACAGACGGAGCGTTCCTTCTGTCAGGCCACTTGAGAAGAGCCAGGTGACGGCAGAGGGATAAGGGGGAGCAGGTCAGAGGCTCCGCTGCTCTGTAAATACTTCACATGGTGAAGGAGCACATGAGGTCAAACAGCACATCAGCAGCTCAGGCTTCCTCGGCGGCCTCCAGATCTTTGGGCTTCGATTGTGTTTATGGTGAAACTGAATCTATTTCAAATCCAGCGTCTTGGGAAATGTGTTTTACAGTGAAACAGATGTTGTGGTTTATAGCCCACCTGCCTGCTCATTCAGTATGGGGACTGACTGTCTGCACACCTGAGCTGAATAGGGCCATCCTTCACTGCAAATCCTTTTTTTCTAGTAGCATCACTTTCTAATAAGTCCCTTTGTATGAGGGGTTTATAAGTTATAACTACTGGCTTTATTAATGGTCAGTAAATCATATGATAATGCTTTGTAGATCAATTATAAGCCAAATAAAAAAAAATTCTAGGTTGCCACGTTGTGAAAAATCCTTTTTGCTGGTGTTCATCCTTCATTCATTTATTAATAAATGCTTAATGAGTCGTTAATAAATACATTTTGATCTTCTGCAGCCCTTAGAAGGTGAAAGGTATTAATCATAAACTGGCATCCCAAAAGTTGTCTTCCTTTGTGGCTTAAAGCTGATCTATAAAGCTTTAGCGAATAATTTAATAACAACTGATAAGGCTTTTATTTACAACATTAAAACAAATTGTAAATATATAAAGTTTTTATGAAGTAGAACTTCATTCCATGCAGTTATTCAGTAAGGCAGTTGTTGCTTTACTTTCACTTATTGCACAATGTACAGAATCATCAGTTACAATCATTGAAGTTGGAAATGAATAGACAATAATTAAAATGGTATTGAATTTAATTTATGTATAATAAGACGAGGCTCCTGAACAAGTCGTGCTACTTTAACTGGGAGTCCGAGCTTCATAAACAGCAGTATCAGGATTGAGAATTCGTTATAGAAGCGAGGGTGTATGTGGGTGTTTGAGTGTGTGTGTGTGTGTGTGTTGGGGCGGGGGGGGGGGGGGGGGGTAAGGGAGTCTGTCTCGGTATTTCTCGAAATGCGTTACATTGCTCTGGCTGTGCGGGGGAATGTGACGAGTCAGTAACATGCCTGCCGATCCGACTGTTTTCTCACGGGAAAACTGCTCGAGAACCAAACAGGCGTTTAGAGCACATGTGTGACTTTGTGTTATTATGTCAGGGGCAGAGAGGATGGGCTGTGGAAATAACACGGTGGGGCAATAATGGGAATGGTGCAGGAATATTACTTACAGCCTACAATTAAGACTGGCTTTAAAGGATCAAGTCACACTTAAATCATTTATCCTGCGGTCAGGTAACGTCAAATATGTGAACAGTGGTCAACAGCAGGAGGTTGACTATTTCATGAGTGCTGGTGTTTGAGGGAGTTGTAGAAGACGTAGGATGCTGTTGCTCCAGATTTGCATGCTGCTCTAATTTTCACTGAGATAATATGATCCATCTGTTCATAAAGCCAACAGGCGCGCGCGCACACACATACACACACACACACACACACACACACACACACACACAGGCTTGTACTGTTGTCTGTGGTATTGTGAGGAACCTGTAGCCTGCATAAGGAGCTGACAGGCTGAATATCCTAGAACTTCTTTGGCAAACAGATGTGGACTTTGCTAAATGTATTTTGCCGTTTCTGAGCCAAGTTACATTTTTCTTTCATTCTGTTGTTCTTTATTGTCCATGTTCCAAAACATTAGAGTATTCACTCAAAGCCAGTATGATATCACGAGTTATGAGTCCAGTTTAATTTGTGTAAAAGTTCGATGGTGTTTGAAATGTTGAAATGAGAGCTCGAGGGCTCATCTCTCAGGGGAACGTGTGGGTGTGGTTTGGAGCGAGCGCTCGCGTGTCACTCAAGCGGAGTCAGCTGCTGGCACGCGCCCCCCGGTGACGTGAAGCTGAGCTCGCGCAGCAAAAGTTTTTTAAACACTTTTCTGTTGCCCCGCTGCGCGCGCACACGGCTCCTTTTACAAACCTCTTGTCAAAATGTTTTCGTGGCTCAGACGCAGCCTTTGCCTCGGCTGAACCCGCCATGTAGGCTGCGCGCGCTGCACAGAGCTCAGGGGGGATATTTCACCGGATCGTTGCGGTTCGGGAGCTGCAGAGTGCGCGGCTGGCTGGCTGGCTGGCTGGTCTGGTGTGCGGGATCCGGTGACCGCCGGGGCGGACTGCCTGCACCATGCTCCGGCCGTGGGCTGCGCACTGGATCACAGCTGTGCTCCTGTGTCGGGCGGTGGCACAGTACTCCAGCGACCAGTGTAGCTGGCGAGGAAGGTGAGGATGGAGCTGAACAAAGGACTTCTGATCAATGTCAGTTGAGGAACGGATATTATATCAATCAGTTACAGGCGGATAACGTTATCAAACGTGACAAAGAGAAGTTCATTCATGAATGTCGTAGGTTGGGTTGGTCATTGTTTTCTTAAAGAAGACCATAAGGAAAGGATAATCTTTTTGTGTACAATTCTGGAAACGCAGGAGCCTGAGTCGTGTGAGTCCATTACACTGGATTTTGACGCTCAAATGAGTCATTAGAGTCATGGATGTTTAATTAAGATTTTATGTAATTCTCAGGAAAGGCACTGAAAGGTTAGAGTAAAATAAGTTTTTTGTTGTTTTTGTTACAAGATGTGCTGTTGAGATTGAGGATGTTTTTGGCTCTTTTGTACCGTAGCTTGGGGGGACTTCTCAGAAATGTAATGCTGTCAGATCTCAGTATGAACATTTTTATCTAAATCTTTTCACCCTTAGTCATTCCTCTCAGAAAATGTCTGACACAACGACTAAAACAAATCATATGTAGACAAGACAGGTGCCTTCATTTGACTTTAAGGGACTATTTTTGACAAGAATCTCACCATAGTCCAACATCTAAAATATGCTTCTTTGAAGATTTCAAAAATGTAATTGTGATCACAGGAGTGTCTCTGCTCCAGTTCCTATCTTAAGTAAATACAGCCATATGGCACCTTTGATCACTCCTCAAAGTCCCCAAGTCATAAAAATGAAGGCCTATACTCTGTTGTAAAGCTAGTAACGACTTAATAGCCCTATCGGTTCCCGGTGCTGAGGTAGTTTATGCACATCAGAGACAGGGGACCGCATCAGTCCAGATTGAGTTTTTTCTTAGTGAATGTTGCTGTATCATAAAATCAGTTTTTCTATGATGTAGCAGAAATATGTTCATAATTTTTCATTCTCTTCATTTGACTTTGATGATTTAAACATTTGATGTTATTCTGTGCTCTGGATAAGGGTCAACAAGCCTAATGTGAAAGATGTAAAAAATAAATAAATAAAAAAAATCAACCTGTCTTCTCGTATGCAGCGGTTTGAGCCATGAGTCGCACCGCAGAGATGTGGAGCAGGTCTACCTTCGCTGCTCGCAGGGGTCTCTTGAGTGGCTCTACCCCATTGGAGCCATCATTGTCAACCTGCGGCCAAACACTGAGTCTTCATCAGCACACATGGCAGGTCTCCATGTGTGCATCAAACCATATACTTACTCCCAGGTAGAGTATGACCACTGCCTTTGTCTCGGCATATCTAGAGTTTGCATGACTCACTGTTGGAGTTCTATTGATTTAAAGGTTTAACAATCAGAATGACACCTTTGCAGCATGATGTGTCCAGTGGATGTAGCTTTTTCTGAATATGTGTCCTCCTGGCCCTCCTGTTTCAGGGTTCTCATGTGTATCTGGAGCATGCCGGGGACCTGAGACTGCTGCTGGCAGAGAGGGACCAGGCTCATGGCACAGTGCACTGTTTCAGCCTGGCAGAGGGGGCTCTCTTTGTGGAAGCCATCCCACAGACGGATATCAGCCGGAGGATCACCACTTTCCAGTATGAACTGGTGCCCAGTCAGGGGCCCGGGGCACACATGTACCCATTCCTGCACCCTGGTGCAGGTACGTGAGTCAGTGCATCACACATCTTTTTCTTAAACACAAGTTCCTCAAGTACAAGAAGATGGCGTTCTTATTTGTATTCAGCTCTTGTGTTATGCAGATGGCATTAATCCTGTATCATTAGAGAAATTCATTTTCTTTTTTAAGTTTTCTCCCACATTTTTGATGATATTTGCATCATAATGCAGTTGTAAACGAGGTCTGTTTAAAACTTTTTCACTGCTGGTGCTTAAAAGGTAACTCTGATATCCAGTTCTGGATGAATTGGCTGTCAAAATTCATTGCTTTTATAATTGGTGGATAAAAATAATATCTGTAAGATAAACAATAAGCACACAAGCTTCGTGAAGAGCAAAATTCAAAACTGCCAGGCACAATGTTTTTGCACTTGAATGCACAAACACGCAAGAGTTTTAAATACATTTCCTGCTTGTGCCATTGTTACCAGATGACGAGTGATGATAACACTGAAACATAACACTGAACAAAGAGCTGGAAAAAAGGCAAATTATTCACTGTGATCAATTAACTGTCTCATAGGTTTCAGTTTTCTTGGTAGTTGACCTTCACGCTGTCAATTGTTTAAAATTATATGCAATTTGTAGATAATTGGCTTAAACGGTCTGTTAAACTCTTTGTACCTGACACAGCTCACTGACATTAAGTGAACGTGACAGACTAGAGTTGAGTTAAGAGAAAAAGGTTCTGTGTGCAACAGGCCACTTGGTCGTTTCACCCTCATTTCTTCATCTCACCTACATGCTGCCCCTCTCTGACACTCTCTCCTCCCCCACTTCCTCCCGCCCACACCCCTGTGTCTCAGACAGTCTTATGAAAACAAGCATGCCAATCAAAAGGTCTTGTTCGGGTCAAGCACAGGGGTCAGCCAATCGTCTCTCAGCTGTCAATCAAGAACAGATCCCTGCTAAAAGCAAGGAATTTTGGGTAGCCCACCCGTATGAATAAAGCAATGTGGTGGAGGGGACGGGCAGTGGGTGGAGAGGAAGGCTGGACTGCAGCCTGTCCAGGCCTGTGTGTGTGTGTGTGTGTGTGTGTGTGTGTGTGTGTGTGTGTGTGTGTCTTGGCGTTTTATAGCTGTTTTTATAGCTGACAGGGTCAAGGGGTAATTCTCTGATTACGTCTCTTCCCTCACCTGCTGTTCTCATTCACATATTCTCTATTTCCTTTGATGTCTCTGAAACACCAACACAGAGAGAGCAGGAAACAGACTGAAGGGTTAAACATATTTCAGGATAACACAAAAGCTAATGAGGAAAGAACTTTTGTGCTTTCTGATGTTATGTAAAATTATATTGATTAACAGTGTTTACAGTATCTTCTTTTTTTCATCTTTTCCATTTTAGTCACCTGTAAACCTTGTTCAGACGAAGAACTCCTCATGGCTGTGTGTACCAGTGACTTTGGTAAATAAATACACAAACTCACATTTTGGGATCAATTCCACTGTCATGTCTATAATGTCAATGTGAAGCTACCACAAGCAGAGGGTTAGCTTAGCACAAGGGCTGGAAAAACGGGATATAAGAAAACTTGGTATAACACATTATATCTTAATTGTTTATTCTGTATTATTGCCCTTTGAATCAACTTTATTTAGAGAGAGATTGTGTTTTGTTTGTTTCCAAAAGTTATTTAGTCTTGCTTTAATTCACACTCGATAACTTAAGCTGGATTCACTGACTTGATCTTCTCTGTGTCTGTAGCTGGGAGTGGCATCTTTCGAGGTGTGGCGTCAGGTACTAACGGCCACTCCTCCGCCGTGGTGACCCTGAGCCGGCTGTTTCATCAGAAGAGCAGGGTGTTTGCTTGGGGTGGAGCCAGAGGGCGGAGCTGGAGTGGACATGTCAATATTCCCTCGCAGTGCGGCGTCCATCCTGGAGAGGACGAATACCTTTTGACTGGCTCTGTCCATTTTGGTGAAGCCTGGCTTGGCTGTGCACCTCGCTACAAGGACTTCCTGAAGCTGTACACCGGAGCGCAGAAAGTGGGAACAAACCCCTGTCAAATAGACACAGACTGAGAGATCAGGATGGAGTGACATTATCTTGGACACTGTCAGAGAGATAAGCAGGATCCCCCCCCCCCGGCCGTCGCTAAAGGATACTTCTTCAGACTGAAGTTGTGCACTGCTGCACAACTTACCTTTACCTTGCAGCAGAAAAGACGGTTGGACATTTTAGCAGCCAAAGCGTTACCTAATCTGAAATGTCCCCATATGACTGTGTGTAAATGTGTTCGTGCATAAGTGAGACAGCAAACGAATGAATGGATGATAAGCTTAAATTAAATATGTGCCTAACTGCTTCAAGTTTTTATTCTCATGACGATACCGCTTGTGTGATCATTCTTGAAATGAAAGTTTGCTTTGTAAAAAGCTCTCTGTAAAATTTAGGAGTCTTCTGACAGAAGTGTACAGTATGCAGCTCTGTGAGTCTTTATGTACTAAGTTTGTGTGTGTGTGTGTGTGTGTGTGTGTGTGTGTGTGTGTGTGTGTGTGTGTGTGTTTTGCTAATGAGTTCAAAGGGTCTTTATATTTACAGAGAATAAAACGCAATCCTTCAGTCTGCCTTTCTCTTTGATTTATCCATTTAACTCTCTGTTTGTTTGTGAATGTGCCAGTATGAACTATATGTCCTGACATAAGGACACGGCATCACATGTTATTAACAAACCTGTCCCTGTGCGTCACATTATGTATGTCACACTGAGGCTCGGTGAGGTTGGGGTGCAGATAATTAAAACCAACTGGCAAGTGAAGTTAGTTGTAAAATGAAGGACTAAAAGTTATTAGCCTTTATGTTGGCACACATGGATACAAACAAAGAGATTTTGTCCACCTGACTGCCCGAAAGAAAAAACCATTATGAGTGTTCAGTGACCATTAGCTGGCAGGAGAGCAGCAGTGCGTCAGTGCTGGCGTTGCTACCCCTGCGGAGCTTTGACGAGCCACTGTTCTAGTTGGCATCCTCTTTCACTGGTGTGTGTGTGTGTGTGTGTGTGCGCGCGCATTCAGTCACTGCATAGTGAAAGAAGGAGAAGCAATTATATTTTCCACCACAGTCAACCAGGTACAGTTCAATAGCTACTGTGCTAATGTTTTTCCCTTGAGTTTCATGAGAGAGGACTCCTGTGGCCTGAACCATCACATAAGTTTAAACTCCTGTAAACTCCTGTATGTCTAAATGTATAGACCTTTGCATGGCTGAAGCTACAGGACAGGGTTCAGTGATGTAGCCTTATAGCAACAGAAACTTGCCTGTCAAAATAAAAAGCTACTTTTAGATGGATGGATGGTTGAGACTGTTGGGGCTTGATGGGTGGAGAGCTGAAAGAAGGAAGGCGGATGTGTGAATAACCTTAGAGGGGTGTATGTGCACCTCTCCCTCCGCTTGCCGTCAGCAGTTGTGTTTGTGTGTGTGTGTGTGTGTGTGTGTGTGTGTGTGTGATGCTTTCCCTCTTTCCTCAGGAAGAACAAGAATGGAAGGAATGTCCCCTCCCACATACATATATACACACACACACACACATACACACACACACACACCTCCCTCTGCATAGACAAACCACTTGTGCTGTGTTACAGAGTGAAATCAATCATATTTTATTCCTGTCCAGCATCATACAATCTGCGTGTTCTGAAACCCAAAACTGTCGTAATGCCACTACTACAGGGCACAAAGAGAGAATGAGAGATAAACACAGCATGGCTGCTAAAATACTGTCAAGCACTTTCAAACACTTAAAAGGACACTTCAGTGATTTAGTATTGCACTCCACATAAATCTGGGGGTACTTATAACTGATAGATTTTAAAGAGATGTTGTGACATCTAGTCCCTGGCACCAAAAACCCTAAATCATTCACTTGCCATAATGCAACTCATTTACATATTTTGTTAGACTTTCCCCAGGGGGTAATTCCCTAGCATCTTTCAAACTTCATGCCTCCAGTTTGTAACGTTGGCTCTTTATTTAAAATTTGTATTCATAGTTGTAGCACCTGATACAAAATGAAAAAAAAAAATGTAGAAAAAAGCTCATGAATGTACGAGAATAAGTGAGAAAGGCAAGAGCAGAGAGTAAGACGTAGAGGGAGACATTAACACATAGCTTGAAGGTTTAAGATAGACCCTGAAGACTTGAGAGGGTCACCTATATATAACAGCCCCAGCCCCCTCAAACACACTAAGGGCTGTGTGTGTGTGTGTGTGTGTGTGTGTGTGTGTGTGTATGTGTGTGTGTGTATGTGTGTGTGTGTTTGTCTTGAGTTGTAGTTTGAGACAACCACAGCACACGCGCCCTGCGCACTGCCAACATGCAAACAGGCCACACTGCAGAAACCCAACCCACCACAGCAGCACCCATGTGCCCCTTGGCAACCCAACCTGGCAACAGCCCAGCTCGCCTTGGCATCCTCGCTAATTCGGGACACACTTATCCCTGCGCACAGGGGTCTTAATGTTAACCTTTCAGTGTGAGAGTGTGTGAGATATGGAAACAGTTTGTGCTGCAGTATGCGACAGGCACAGCTGAGTGGTCAGCTGGAGTCGAGGGAATGGCTGAGCTCAGGGAAAATACACAGGCATGCTTTCACCCACATATACCACCACCGGCATTTTATAATGCACTGGCCAGGGTGGGGTCAGGAGTCTTAAATGGTGGCACAATATTTTAGGTTGTTAGCATGTCTGGTTTTTACTGGGCTTCAGAGTATAAAAACTTTACATTTAATACTTTTAATGAAAACTATGTGAGACTACTGCACTTCGAAGTTCACATGTAGAAATCAAATCAACTAAAATATGAGATTTTTAATTGCAGTACAGGTATATTTTACATTTAAGTTAGTGTTAACTACTGGAACAACAACTATATGGAAGCTGTGGCCTGCCACTGTAATAATGATTAATGTTTCTGTTTTCTATTAAGTGACTGAAAAGTTTCACTTTCTGTGCCGGAGCGAATCCATGAAAACAATTTAAAAAAATTCAAAATGATCATTAATTGTATTAATTAATGATTCTTCATTCATTCATTTATTCTGTTTAAAGCCCTTTTTTAAAAAAAAACATTAAGCACTGCATGGCCACTGTTTAAGCGGGGCTTGCACATGAACTGATTGGAGTATCTTGCCATCAGTCTCGGTCCTTACGGAAATGTGAGCTTTCACAAGTTTCAACCCCTCTTTGCATGTTGTCATGATGATCCACGTGAAGAGACTATAAAGATTTAAAAGAGACTTCAGTAAAACCTGAGTAAAATTTACTTTGAGTAAATGTTCATTGTTGCATTTGATCAGTTTTTGTGTTATGTGTTGACCATGACGCTGTTGCTCATAGCTGCTGGCACCAAAAATCTCACACATTTCACATTCTAGTTGTATTGATGTTCTCACATCAGCTGTGATATTTGACGCCTCCAGAGTTGAAATAGTTTGTAACAAACAGTTTGAAGGCAAAACTAAATTCTGCAATTCATCATGAATCTTGATCAAAAATCAAATATTTCTTCATTTTCAGGCGACCCCAGTTATTCTGAGAAACAGAACGTGTGCAAGACTTCCAGACTTTGAGTGGCTGGTAAATGGATTTGTGAATGGCTCTTTGGCCTGGAGCTGAACTAAGAGTGCAGAGGAAAACAATGAAGGAAATTTCAGGAATGTCAGTGGTTCAGTTTGCACTAAAAAAAAATAACAATTAAAGGGAGATACATCGGTAAATGAGACAACAAATAGTAAAAACCTAAAAAATATATATATTTGTATGAATACATTTAGAAAAATGAATCTATTCTTTACTTTAAGAAATATATGAAATAGAAATGTAATAATCAGATTTTTTTTCTCAATTGTGTCACTGAAATAAAATTTAATGAATAACTTCATAATTTGTTCATGAAGAAATATATAGAGAAAATATAAAGGCTATTTTCCTGTCCAGCTGCACTCATGTACCATGTACCTTGTCAGAGTATGAAGCCATTAAGCCACAGTGCCCCTCGGTGGCGGAAATGTGAACAGTTCATTTAAATACTTTACCAACAAAAAGCGAAAGTAACTGTCAGTATTTCTGAGCCTGCAGTGATGTACTGTATATATATTTATTTTTTTAAATGAAGTCATATGTTCAACTGATTCACATAAAGGTGATTTTTATTTTTTTTCATGCCTCCACAGTAAGTGTCATTGACATGAGACAAATCTCATTTTTCCTCTTTTGCAAATGAAAATCAGGAAATACTAAAAACAATTGAGTCAGTCCTTAGCTTTCACGAGACAGGAAATGTATTTGCTGGACAAAGATGCAACTGTGTGAGAGTTTGAAGCTGATAAAACATGGGTGATATAAATGCAGAAGTGAAATGGCTCAACGTTTGCATGGCATGCTGACACATATTGTGGGTGTGACGTTTTCTTTATTAGACACAATGTTTGAAGAGTTTCTATTTCTTTGGAAAAACATGAAGCCGAGGGACCTTCAAAACCTGCTGCTCATCCTCTGCAGTAAGTTCTTCAGATTCAATGAGTAAATGTATCTGTATTTATGCAAATATAGCAGAATACTGTGGCTAGATATTTGGTCATTTCATTAAACACCTGTAACACAAGTGGCATTTATGTTTAAGATAAAGAATCATTTAATAGACATCACATTAGACTCAAAGTGCACACAGTGTAAAATGTATGCAGAGTGAAAAAGTGAGAAGAAGCTGCATAAACCTCAAATTTAAAAACATGAAAAGTCTTAACAAAGACTTCTTGACATTGTCTTTCATGTCTTCTTCTCTTTGCAGTAGCTCTGAGCTGTGTGAGCGGTGCAGCACCAGTGATCCATGTGTCTGGATATGAAGGGAGAGATGTTAATGTTTCCTGCCCCTATGGAGAGGGTTACGAGTCTTATGAGAAATACCTGTGCAGGAATGACTGTAGCAATAGTGATGTTCTTATTATGACTACACAAGCGAACAAGAACAAATACTCCATCTCTGATGACAAAAACAAACGAGTCCTCACAACAACCATCTCTGATCTGAGCTCTGTGGATGCTGGGAAATACTGGTGTGGGGTGACCAGAAGTGGAAAGGATTACTACCCTGCTGAAGTAAGACTGGACGTAGTGCCAGGTAAACAAGTAAATTCATTATTTCATTATGGTTATCAAGACCATTTTGTTTACTTCCTCCTCCCAACTAAGTAAATCAGTTTTCAGGTTTTCAGGTACATGTACTTTATTTGAGATCTTTTTTTTTTTTTTTACTGTATACTTCTACAGTAGCCTAACACATTTCAGAGGCAAATATGTTTCCTTCATTAATTTATCTGATATATAGAGTTAGTTTTTAAATGAATATTTTATCTACAAACAGATTTTCATCCTATAAAATTTGATTCAGCGTCTTTGGTTAAACTGCGTAACAGTATTTAAAGAAGTTTAAAATTGCTCCAGGTTAACATCCGTTCCATTAGTAATACAACACTGTAAAGGGTCGTTCTGTCTGTATATAGTGAACACTTGACTTTTGATGCTTGTGCTATGTTTAGTTCATGGTACTTCTGTATTTTATTCTAAATCTATACTTGTGACTTTAACTCAAGTATATAGTTGTCTCTCCTTGTAATACCCTGTTTTTTCTGATCACCTGCATTTTCTACTGTAAACTGACTTTACTTAATTCGTTATTACTGGTTCTTCCATAAAACATCAATCAATCAGCTGAACATGAAAACCTCAGTATTTATGTCATATTTATGTTACTGACAGACAGCTGCTGTGATCAGTTCACCGAAGTCCACAGTCATGAGGAAGGTTCAGTGTCCATCCCTTGTCCATATGACTCTAAGTACCAGAAGAACCTGAAGTACATCTGCAGAGGAAGGCAGCCCTCCATATGTCTGCAGCAGGCAGTGGTCACCTCTAACAGAAAACTCAATGGAAAGTTCACACTTACTGGTGACGAGGAGTCTGGGAAATTCACAGTGAACATCACCAGTTTGACCCAAAAGGATTCTGGGTGGTTCCTTTGTGGTGTCGAGAGAAACAATGGCCTGGATGTTTTCTCTGCTGTTAAGCTGGAAGTCAAAGGTGAGAGGTCACAGATCAACCTCATAATACAGTGAACAATACCTGCAGTGAACCACAGATATTGAGAAAAAATGACTAAAGAACCAAAGGTGTATGAAGATTGAAAAAACTTTGTTTCTTACTCTTGTATAATTCATCTAAATATATTAAATATTTTAAGGAAAGCTGAACCATAAAAGACATGCACATCCATTTCTGAGCTGAATACAGGATACCTTGTTATTAGATTATTAAATAAATTAGCTCAACCCTCCTTCTGTCTGACAGAGTGGTGCTGTGTGAAGTCAAAAAGCCTGAGCGGCACCGTGGGAGATCCTCTTACTATGCAGTGTCCCTATCCAAGCCAACACAGGACAAACAGGAAGTTCCTCTGTAAGGGAGACCGCCGAAATAACTGTGAAATCCAGGTGACGAGTCAGAACTCAGGCCGGACTAGGAACAGGTTCACACTGCAGGATGACGCTTCTTCCAGCTCTTTCTCGGTGAAGATCACAGAGCTGAAAGCAGGTGATGCTGGGACATACTGGTGTGGTTCAGACTCACAGTGGAGTATTGGAGACTACACCAAGATTCACCTGTCAGTAGGTAAGATTATGAAAGTAATGAGTGTCAGAGAAGGGTAAAAATAAACAAAGCTGTAAGTTATATCCAGGTTTGATCTCTGTTGTATAAACTTAGTGTCCTTGTGGTTCAGTTCGCTCAGGTCTGTATCATGTCACCATCACATAATGGGTTTAACCCCTCCTCCTTCCTTCTGGATTCCTTAAACTGAAAAGTAGCAAAACTGTTTTTATATTCCTTCAAGGCTGCACAGTGGCTTTACTTACACCTGGAGATATTTCACTGGTTAAGTGAAACTTTTAACCTGTTGGTGCCACTGAATAACCGATGACCGACTCGTCGTCACTAATGACTGATGTCAATATCCCCAGAGCCCCCTGATGGCACGACTAAAGATAACAATGTTTACTAAGAATCTTTTCTTCTGGCAGTTTTTCCAACCAGGACAATAATCCCTATCACCAGTCAGACCGCAACTGTCAAATCACAATCAACCCAGATCACCGATAAACCTATCAAAGGTAACTGTGTGTGTGTGTGTGTGTGTGTGTGTGTGTGTGTGTGTGTGTGTGTGTGTGTGTGTGTGTGTTAATCAAAGTCACACTAGAGGCCATCTTGTGACAATGTGGATGTCGAACCACACCCAAAATCTATCCGAACATACAGACATATAAATACCTACCAAAGTACTCAAAACCCCCTTTGTGGTTGTTCCCACTACAGCAGGTGTCACATTTTGCAATCATGACACACACACACACACACACACACACACACAC